ACATCTTACCATTTTCTTCTCTGTTCGAACGTTGTTCCTAACGACAGGCACAGGCAGATACTGTCCGAAATGATCAGAGAGGTTACAATCGACTTTCTTTTTCGGCTTATGTCTTCGAGATGGTATTTGGGTATAATTCTATTATCCATATCACTATTGCCGACTCCCATTAATATATTTTCATTGTTTATTTGTTGTTGGTGTTGTTTGTTGACTGTCCAACACGCAGGAAAATTCCCGGAGTGTTCCGAATTATGTCGCAAGATACAACAATGCGCTCTCTTAATTTGTCAACATTTTCAACTGGAGTAGCGTAGACTAGGGTATGCAGATGGCTCCAAAAAAATCTAAACAATTACGTTCGGGGGATCGCGGCGGCCGATATTCGTCGTCTAAGTATTGGAGAGCAACCAAACTAAAGTGGGCCGGAGCTCCATCATGCATAAAGTGCATGTTTTGTCTTACTTGAAGCGGTACATCTTCCAGCAGCTCCGGCAGTACTTCTAAATTGTCGATAATCTGCACCGTTTTATCTGTTCGGTAAAAAATGTGGGCCTATCAAATGATCACCGACGATGGCAACCCAAACATTTACGGAAAATTGTTGCTAATTGTTTTCTGCCCATATGTGGTTGTGAAAATTGAAAATACCATCCTTCGAGAAAGATGCTTCATTAGTAAGCAGAACTTCGGCTCCAAACAGGATTTTGAGCTATTTTGTTTTGCATCCATGTACAAAAAGCCAATTTTGGCGCGAAATCTCTTGGCAATAAGCATCTCGAAGCGTAATTAAGTTTCAAAACTGTAAAGCAGCATTGTTGTCTTCTTCATTTGTTGCAATTACGCCCTGATCCATGGGTCGCATTTGGCTGACAACGCTTCAACTGGCGGATGAGATGGAGCATTATCAAGAAGCAATATTGCATTTTGAGGGAGACTTTTGCAGTCCATATATTTTTATGTGTTTAACAAATTTGTTTTTAAGCCACATTTCAAAAATGTCTTGTGACCTCTAAACCTCTCTATTTGATAAAAAAAATTATAGCCTCAACATTGTCAGCACTAAGCTGTTCTCCTTGAATTTGCAATTCTCTCATTCCATGCCTTTCTTTAAAACGTCGCAATATACCTGTTGAAAGTGTAAGTCTTTCGGTGATTTGTAACTTTTCTGTAAAGTATGGTGCTTTCAGCTCTTTGCTGAAAAACCCGCTTCATCGTTACATTTTCCAGTTGCTCACTCTTCGCACCTTTCATTGTTTTCCTATGTGTAGGGCCGCTGATGTTTCACACATAGAAACGAATGTGTCCAATTTGGGGTGCTGCTATTTCACTAAATCACGTATGGTTTATTGTCCAACTCCATACAGGTGTTTTAAAACAACGTTTAAATATTTATAGGGGTAGTGCTACAGTAGAAAACAAGTCGAAAAGTGTTAATCAACATGGGTCCGAAAATCAACCGTTTTCGCGATACAGGATGTTCAAATTTTTTGGGACTCTACGTTTTTTCTTTTAAACTGCAACTACTGCAGATTTGATAATTGGCAAATCGATACAGTATGAAACTGTCTCTTTTTGAGAGTAGTATGATGTTTCCATTGCTTCCAGTTAATATAAGTTATTCCATTACAAAACGTTATGCCATTATTTACCAAAATTTGGCCATTACAAGGAGTAGGCTTTGCCTTACGTATAATCTGCTAACATACATTAATGTGACGTTTCGTTCAAATTACGAAACAACCAACCTCCAGTAATTTGATTTTGCGAAACCTGAAGTGAAATCGTTTGCAATGGTCTTGTATTCAAATGCTGAAATGAGCGATATGGTGTTTATGTATGGCCGTGCCAATGGAAATAGTTTGAGAGCACATCGTTTCTATGCTGAAACATTTCCCAATCGCCGGCTAACAGGGTTGCCAGACAATTCATGAAAACTACGGGCTACTTGAAAGAGTTCGGGCTTCCTTTGAACGTAGAATGAGAAACTGTATTGGTCGACATTTTGATGATTCAGTAAAAAGCCTCGTTTTGATTAGTATTAGTATTACGTTGTGTCAATTCAATTTTTCTAATAATTTATTTTTAAAAATGTTGTTTAGAAAAATGTTTAATTAATGTTGTTTAGAATTAAGCTATCTAATTGTTAAATAAAATTTTTGAATTTTCTGAAAAATAGTGGTATTTATTTTTACTTCCGGTCTAACCGGAAGCAATGGAAACATCATACTATTCTCAAAAAGAGACAGTTTTATACTGTATCGTTTTGCCAAGTATCAAATCGGTAGTAGTTATAGTTTGAAAGAAAAAACGTAGAGTCCCAAAAAATTTGAACATTCTGTATCTCGAAAACGGTTGATTTTCGGACCCATGTTGATTAACACTTTTCGACTTGTTTTCGACTGTAGTACTACCCCTATAAATATTTAAACGTTGTTTTAAAACACCCTGTATTTGGTAGCCAGCAAACTGACATTTTCACCATGTTCACGTCTTTTAATAATTTTTAATTTTTTTCCACTGTTAAAAGTACCCGTTTTCGCTTAGGAGCCATTACTACAGTACAACAACACGACCAACTTAACTATCTTTACGGATTACGTTTCCAAAGCATTGGATGCTAGAGCTCAAGTGGATGTTATCTACACGGATTTTGCACTCTTAGTTTTTTTGTTTCATATTTGTCCAACAGATTTTATTACGTCTCTTATAAAAACGCAGTATCAGATATGTTGGGGATTGATTCAGGGGTTCCGCAGAGTAATAATCTGGGACCTTTGTTATTCTTGTTATTTATAAATGATTTGCCCCTGGTAATTAATTTAACTATATGCTTACTATGCTTACTCTTCGCGGACGATCCAGATGACTTAACTGACTGAAGGTCCTTACAGTCTGATTTAGATAACGTATTTAATTGGTGTCGGCTCAACAAGCTCCATTTTAGTGTGTCTAAATGTGAGTCAATGACGTATAGGAAGAGACATATAGAATTTGTATATAAAATAAATAGTGTGAATTTGAGGTGTGTTGTTTTCGCCTGGTATATGCTTTGCTGAACATATTAAAGCTACAGCAACCACAGCTTTGCGTCTCTTAGGATTTGTCATTAGAAATGGGTACAGTTTCTCAAACTTACAAACGCTGCAATTATTTTTCAATTCTTTAGTGCGATCTAAGCTGGAATATGCGGTAATAGTATGGAATCCCGGGTCAATTCTTTATTCTAATTTAATAGAAACTATTCAAAATAAATTCATTAGGTATCTCTACTACAAAAAAATCCGTTTTTGCACGCAAATTATTTAAGATCACCAGGTTGTCTCTCAGAAGAAAAATTATATCGCTCTGTTTTCTACATAAAATGTTGAATAATAGTATAAATTCTCCATTAATATTAGAAAATATTGGATCTATGCGCCTACATTCCTCGTTTTTCAACTGAACTGAAACGAAATTCTCCTCTTATTAGAATCCTTTCATTGTACAACACACTGTCATACCTCTATTTAGCATTGGTATTAGATCGTTTAAACAATATTTGACACCTTTGATAAGTGCTGCAGCCATCCAGTAGCCAAACTTGATTTTTAGCATTCGCGCGTTCTGTGATGCGTTAATTAACATTTATGCTTGATATTGGTTGTTTTGTTTGTTTTTATTGGTTATATTATGTACTAGTAGACTTAAGTTCTGAAATTTGTAATTAGGGGCAATCCTGTAATTTCGGAAGTAAAATAAATAAATAAATAAGCTACAAAAAATTAGGCGTGGCGGAGTACTTAAAGAATTTGTTGTTAAAATTAAAAAATATATAAATCACAAGGCATTTTACTTATCTCGAAAATGGGGCATTTTTGAGAGTAAGTTAATAGAAACTTTTTTTCAAATTTTTGGACAAGCTATCACATCCTGAAGTCCTTAATTTATCTTAATATTCACATTAGTAAGTTTTAGGTCTAAGAAATTTAATTCTTTATTTTCTATTTCTAATGTGAAATTTAAATTTGTGTGGACATTGTTAAGGTATTTATAAAAAAGTTCCAAATTTGCATTTTTGCCTTCCCATATTATAAAAATATCATCAACATATTTTCAATATGATTCATTTCATTATTCTCAATATGATCAAGGTATATTTCTGCCAATATTCCAGATAAGGGCATCATTAATTTTATAAAAAGTATCATTAAAAGTACATTAATTTTGTGTAACTATATGTTTTAGAATAGTATTAAGTAATAAGAAATCCATAGAATTTGAAATGAAAAATTTAGCATGAAAATTTATCAAATGAAATATGTTGAGCATAAACTTGGCCAATTTAGATGTGGATGAATTATTGAAGGCGGTAATAGGACGATGTTTGTCTTATACATTTTTGGTAAAGAATAACTTTTTTCTAATGTCAACATATGCAGGTCTAAAATCTATGGATATTAAAGGAAGGTTAGTTTTTGGCTTTAAAACAAATTTGGACCTTAGTTTAGGAGTTTTTCTTCATCTGCTGTAAATGAAATTATTATAAAGTTCTTAAATATGTATCAGATGGATTTTACTCTTTTTTTTCTCCTTTTCTTTCTTTGTTTATTCTCAAGTTATTAATAATTTTCTTATTATTTGTTGAATCATGTGTTACTTCTATATTCAAATGCCTGATGATGAGTTAAAAGTCGAAACCAGTACCAATAAACATTAAAATACAAGCATGTAAGAAGTTTTATATAAAATAATTTCCTTTATATAGCTTTATTTGATCCAGGAAAATAACTCTTATTAAAGTGATTTATGAACTTATTGTTAACTAGCTATTAACATTGAATGTATAATGTTGTTACCTTATTTGAATCGGACCTAAACTAAAAAAGAAATGAAATTTCCTAAGTAATTAACAAACAATACCAATGTATATATTTGCCAATAACTTTTGTTATGTTCCACAATGACAACAATAACAATATTAAAAATAAACACGATAAGAATAATGAGAATATGAATACCTGGTATGGTGATGATCCAAGTTGATCTGAGGTGGTTTCGCGAACGCTGTCATTGCCCCTCAAGAGGGAAATGTCGTCGGTGGTAGTTCGTTTCAAGCAGTTGCCCATGGTACTAACTCTGGTCACGCATCTATGGCGAAATTAGTAAACCTACCGCCGATCGTAGAGCTGAAACGGGGCGACGTGGTATACATCTAGTTTTCGTACGTTTCGGTTATTAGCGTTCGTCGGTCTGCCTCGGTGATGGCCGTTATTGCCTCGACTCAAACGCCATTCGCACCGATGCCCTTATAAAAACAGATAACAATATTGACATGGAAAAATAACAATGGAGTCGAGTGAATACAATACAATATCTTTCTAAATTTGGCAACCTTTCAAAACTAATACCATGAGACATCTGTTCTATTTTACTCACACTTTCTTATATATATATAATGTAACTACTCACCGATAGATGGACACAACTGCGCTGTATATCAAATATACAGAGTGGTTTTTGAAATTAATCTTTTAATATATTGATAAATTTTAATATTAAATTTTTAATAACTAAATATAACAAGCGATATCTCTTATTCCTTGCGTTAACGTTGATCTCTAACCCATCCTTTTCCATTTAGAAGTATCGACGTGGAATACATGCGTGTGGAATGACAAATAACACAGGTCTGCGATGAAAAAATTGTTTCAAAAATTTTGATCATCCATCTTGAATGATTTTCATCACCCTTTGTTTACCCACAACTCACACATTAAATTTTTACTTTTAAGGTTTTTATATAATACGTAAAAATATATATATATATAAATTTTTAGCTAAATAAGTTATTTTACGAAAGCAACCAGCCTAAATTTAGGTTGGCAACATGAGACAGCCTTTCTTTTCTTAAAAAAAACTGTACAGTAAAACTGGTAGAATCCGGTTCATACTAGATTTGCTCCCCCCTCCACTCTGTCTGCTCACCAGTCTCCACTGCAAGGTCAAGTTACTGTCTGTAGCACAGAATAACCGGAAGTGACACTGGTGCCAAATCTGACCCCATATTATAGCGAGTATGCTGCTGTTGGTCGTAAAGATTTGGCGGGTGTCACTTCTTGTTATTCTGTGCCTTTGGTAACTAGCAATCACTCTTGATGGAACCTCTCTGCTGAACACTCTTTCACTGTTTCTTCGTCAGTTTTAGTTTTGTGCTGTGAAATGGCTCCTACAGGTTGTGTGAACTCTCCTAATTGTTTCTGCTAAATTTGTGGAACTTAAAAAGCAACAGAGAAACATTAGTTACTTTGTTAAAAAGGTTTACTTTGCCTAATTTGGTATGAAACTTAGAGATCAAGACAAACAATAGGCTCCTCACAAAGTGTGTGTTGAAGAAGCTCTGCGCCCTGTTCCTCATGGACCTGATTTACCTGTACCTTGTCCTCCAGCTACATTTGAAAACATGTTAGACGATGTCGATCAGTTGTTTCAAGGCAGTGATGATGGCGTACTTACGAGCCCACCTACAATGAGCCAAAACTCATTCACGGAGTCGGAACTAAACGATTTGGTTAGCGACTTAGGCTTTCCAAAGGATTCAGCCAAGGTTGAAAGAAAAACATGTGTTGGAACATCCTTCTCTTGGTACAGAACTCGAGAAAAAAAGTTTGCGTCTTTTTTCTCTCTCAAAAGTGACCTTGTTGGGTTGATGGAGACATTCAATATAAAATATGACCCCGGTGAATGGAGACTTTTAATTGACTCTTCTAAAAGATGTCGGAGAGCTGTTCTTCTCCACAATGGCAACCAATATGCATCTGTACCAGTAGGACATTCAGTTCATTTGAAAGAATGTTACGAGAATCTCAAATTGGTACTTAACAAGCTTAAGTACTCTGATCATAAGTGGGGATTTGAAAGTGATCTCTATGTTACTAGGCCAACAGAGTGGCTATACAAAGTTCCCCTGCTTCCTCTGTGAATGGGATAGCCGTGACCGTAGACAACACTATGTTAAAAAAAAATGAGCAGTAAGAAAATCTTTGGTTCCTGGAGTTAAGAACGTTGAGAAAGAGAGTCTAGTAGATCCTAAAAAGATTCTACTTCCACCAATTCACATCAAGTTGGGACTGATGATGCAATTCGTCAAAACATTACATAAAGAAGGAGAGTGTTTCAGATCTCTGTGAGCAGTTTCTCGGCCTCTCTGATGGATGAAAACTTCGAGTTGAAAATGGAAGACCAGGAAAGGAAGGCATGAAAGTTTTTTAAACAAGTGGTAACTGGGTTCCTAGGTAATAAAAACGATCCAAACTACAAGAATATTGTTGCCAACCTATTAAATAACTATAAACTGTTGGGCTGCAAGATGAGTGTTAAAGTTCATTTCCTTCATTCTCATCTGGACTATTTTCCAGTAAATCTTGGAGCAGTAAGTGAGGAACAAGGAGAACGGTTCCACCAAGATATAAAAGGAATGGAACGCAGATATCAAGGGAACGTTAACATGATGGCAGACTACTGCTGGATGTTAAAAAGGGAAAATCCTCAAATTGCAACAATCAGCAACAGACATAAACTCAGCAAATGTAGGATTTTGCTCAATTAAGCCAATCGTCTTACAACAACTTCGTCTTAGGAAGCCATGGTACTGCAATTAACACCATATTCACCCAAATATGATGACATCCATATAATAATTTAAGAAATTCAAATTTGTGAATTGGCAAAGAAGATTAATCTATCGGAATCAGCAGTCAGAACTATTATAAAAGATAAAGAAAAAGTTCTCGAAGCTGCAAAAAATGCTCAATCTTTGAATTCAAGCATCATTCGTAAACGTCATGATATTATCTCTCAGATGGAAACAATGTCAAAAATATGGTGTGCTAATCAAGTAAGAGTGAAAAATTGTCCTGTTGATCAGAACACGGTGTGCTCTCAAGCTAAGCTAATTTTTGAAAGATTAAAAAAAGAAGCTAGGGAGAAGGCCAAAGATGAAAATGTTTAAAGCTAGTTGGTTTAGCCGTTTTAGACTGCATCTCTTTATCTAGAGATAGTCAAGGCAATGATAGAAGAAGGTGGCTATACAAGCCACCTGGCCATTCTGGGAAAAAATGCCTAAAGAGCTTTTTTATCGACTGACAATGATGACACAAAATCCAAGAGCTTTAAAAAATAAATCTAAAACTGGGTTGCCCGTGATTTGGAAGTGGAATGCTAAAGCTTGGGTGACAGCTTCTCTTTTTGAATTAGGTTTGGTCATCACTTCATACCGGAAGTCGAATGTTATTGCCTATTAAAACAAATCCCATTTAAAGTGATGTTATTAATCGAGAACGCACCAGGTCATCCTCCTGCAACCCTAATTAATTTCAACCCACGTGTGAAAGTTGTATTTTTGCCATCGAATACAACCTGCTTGCTTCAACACGAGACGAATGAAATACCTAATGAAATTCCAGCCATATAAACTCATCTTATATCCATTCGATATCTCAATTCGTATCTCAAGAACGAATGGAGATATCATCATAAAATAAACATCATTTTAAAGCAGATTTCATGAAGATTTAATGCGCCATAAATAATTTCTGAATTCCCATAAACATCGTAGTTCTGATTTTTTAAATCCAACTAATCCATTTTTTAAAAATCATATCTCTAGAACAAACATGATGATATCTCCATCATGAAATGCAAAGTATTTTAAAGCAAATTTAATGAAGATTCTTAATTCTATCGGACGATAGATGTCCGACGTCTTCGAAGTCGGCCGAGATTATTAAACTTCAAGCAAGATAGACTTGGTTCCATGGTCCAGGATTCGGCGTGATGCCATTAACAACTTGTAAAATTACGAATTCAACGCGAATATACAAAAAACTGGTACTTGAGCAACACGTGGGGCGGCCGAGGTCTTCGAAGTCATGGAATAGATGCATGTGGGACGACAAACGCAGATATAGGTTGATAACCAGACTTGAGCAGACATTAAGATGACTGCCCACCCTACCCAGTTGCAGCAAGATTGCTTAACACATAATACACCCTAGGATTTTACTTTAAATAGTAGTGCATCAAACTTAGGACTGAGAATTGCGCCTGAAACTTCGTCTAAGGAAGTCGTAATACTGCAATTAACACCATATTCACCGAATTGCGATACTGATCCATAATCCATCGCATAACATGAAAGAAAAAGAATCATCTGTAAGTTCTAAACTTCATTTGAAAAAAAACAATAATAAAATCTTTATACTGCAAGGAATGAGCTAGCTGCAGAAGCTGCCAGTATTAACAGTATTGACGTAGAATAGATTACTTCTGCTCTTCATAAATGGCAATATCATAATTTGGGTTAATGCGATATTAATTGCAATATTGTTTCTGTATACAAGAAGACGACGAAATGGGGAACCTGGTACTAAAGATAACTGGAATCTATATTTCCACGTGCCAGACATGTTTGAAGTGTTACAACAGCTTGTACTCCAACTCTGCATTTTTGATTATTATAGATATAAAATAAGATTTAAAAAATCGTATCGGGAGAACAAATTGAGATATCATTATGAAATAAAAAGCATTTTAAAGCAAATTTGATGATTTTACTTATATTAATTAAAACTTCCTGTATAATTGAATCAAAGAACAGAATGCGCCATCTATTAACGAAAATATTAAGTAGCCAGAATATTCAATATATATTTTTTCATAATCAATGTTTGGAGAAGGTTATTGGGTTTTGAATGCGACATAAAAGCTGTTTTGAGAGAATAAAAAAATTGCCACGACCTTGCGTCGACTTTGAATAATACAAGAGAAAAAAAATAAAAAATGTTTTAATTAATTAAATTTTTATAAAATAATCATATCACATTAAATACAAAGTTGATGAAATAATTAATGTTATCATCGCATAAAAAAATGGAATTTTTAAATTAAAAAATAAAATATAATTTTTTTTTAAACAAGAAATTCTTTTATTTGGATAAATGTTATACAATGTGTGATTCCATAAAAAAAATAATAAAGTAGACCAATCGAAAAACACATCAACTATATAAATGAAAAATGTTTTTAACACGAGTTGTCTTAAATATTTACGGGTAAGTGACAAATAGACGAATGTAAGATATATTGCGATTTATTTACATTTTACAAAAAAATTACGTATTAAGTTTTTTTTTACTAGGGTAAAAATGGCAGGAGATTTGAATAAGTTAATTAATAAACGTGTTTATTTGATGACAAAAATGTTCGAAATGTTAAAAAAAAAAAATAAACCCTAAAATTGGAAGATATACACATATTTATATCCCTAAAAACGTTTTTTTTCATTTTATTTCTTTTCAATGAAAATAGAATTTTGTTTTTTTTTGTATTTTGTAAAACTGAGTTATTTCTTTAGCAAAATCGGCGGTTAAAAAAAACAATTTCTAATGTGGAAATCGTTTTTTTCGTTTTCGTCGACGGTAAATATTTTGATAAAAGGCCCGTGATATAAAAACCGTTAATAATAAACAATTCGCTATTGACGTCTAATACTGATTTAAAAGTATAAAAATGTAAGACAACTATAAAACTAACAGAGTAAGTGTTGTACTTATTTTTCCATTTTACTTATTTTCCGCTTAATTTTCTCACATTTTTTTTCATTTTTTTTAGTTTTTGTTACATAGTTTTCTTAACACTTTAGACTAGTTAGAAACACATTTCTAATAAAAATCTAATGCAACCGACACTTTTTTTTAACCCAACAGAAAAAATTTTAAATTAATATTAACACTCTCGCGTAATCGTAATGTGTATTTGCCACGTTCAAACAAAGAAAAAATATGAAAATACAAAGTCTTTTTTTCTAAATAAAATCGCTTTTCGTTCTTCTCGACTAGACTTTGAGTTTGAATAGGAATACTTTCAAGATATGCTGTACGCTTTTTTTCTTTATTCGTTTTGGGTTGGGGGCCAAGAAAAAAAACAATATATTAACAATATATTATATATAAATTATAAATAAAAAAGACGTTATTCATTAAAAGTGAAATGAAATGCGAAATAAAAACTTAAAATAAACTCTTCAATATTCAATAACTATCAATACTTACACGTAAAAACGTAGCATATTTTCTTATTATTTTTTAATTTTATTAAGTGATAAACAAATACTAAAAATATTAAAAATATTTAAAACATACCATTTTCTTATCACATACATAGTTTTAATTTGAAATTGGCCGAAAATCTTTCTCTCTGTTCATTTATAATTAATTATATTATTGGTGGATTGGTGTTAGCCGGTAAGACAGGACACTAACAATCCTGCTAACAGGCGGATTTTCGCAAACCCTTGGAACTACACACCACTACTCTCCGTATCAAAAATCAAGACCCCTCGCTTTAGAGATCGATATTTTCGCAACCAAAAAAAATTTAGTAAAGTTTGTTGTAATCAATGAACATTTCTACATAATATATATAATTATAGTGAATTTCAAAATTTTCTGCTCCGCGATTTTTGGAATAGATTTTTGAGGGTGTCGGAAAATATGATTTTTTTTCTCAAAAATTTCTTCTTAATAAGATATAAAATTTGTTCTTAACGAGGAGCATAATTTATTTTTTTGAAATTCGTTTAGTTTACGCGGACGTCGCACCTTTATTTACCTATACAAAGAAATAAAGGCGCGACGTCCCGTCTAAAACACACCGCGATTTAAACTAAAAATTAAAAAAAAAACTGATAGCGGGATCCTACAAACACAATAATTTGACATATGCCCCTCCTTAAAAACATATCAGACTACCACCTGTGCAAAATTGAAACTTTTACGTCAGATAGTTTTTGAGAAAAAAATTTTCGTAGATTACAAGAAACTTGACCGCAATTACAAAGGCCTTGATGCGGAATAATCATCAGTTAACAGCAATCGACCAATATATTTTAGTTAGCCGTAGAAAATCGGAAATCTTTAAGAAGAAAAAGACCACATATCCACTGTTTTATACAATAATTGTTATCAATAGAAATAGAAAAAAGTAAGCACAAATATTTTATTTTATTTTTTTTTAATTTAAACCGACTTTTATACTAAAGCGCCCTTAAGTATTTACGTATATCATTTTACGGCAGTTTAAAATTCCTACCGATTTTGAAAAATTCACTAACAACATTCAATGATCGCTCCAACATATTCGCCTATTAATATTTAAAAAGATTTGTAACTAAAAATGTCGATATTATTTATATCGATTAGTATAATTTGTTGCTGTTCAAATTGAAACTATGCGGCGAAACAACCTCTTCCTGCTTAATTAATATATAAGGAAAAAATATTACAAAAAAACATTTAATTTTAAATTTAATTAATTAATTAATTAAGAAATTATGTGGTAATCAATTGTGGTAATGCAAACAATGGTACTTCTTCTTCACTTCACTAATTGATTTCGAAATAGATTTTGCAATTAATTTTTTGCAAAGACCCGGGACTAGAATATCTTTTTTAATTACTTTTTTATAGGACGTGTTTGTATCCAAAATAATTTTATTATTTAATGTGATGTAAATAAAATAAAAATAAAATAATTTCACTACAATTTATTTAATTAATTAATATATAAATTTTGCATTAGCAAAATCGAGCGCAATCCAAATCGTAAATACGACAATAAACTTTTTAGATATAATTTATCTAAATAAAATAAATCATCGAATTGGATTGTTCTAAATTTTCTACAGTGTTAAACTATCTAGTGCCAGTTAAAAATCAAACATATTTTTGGAATAAAGTAATTTTGCACCTTATTCAAGGTAATAATAAAATTATTTTGAAAGATGGTAAAATTAGAAAACGTCCTGGAACCAAAGGTTGATTATAAAAATAAATACTCTGTTAGTTTGCTGTATTACCGGGGAAGTCCCTGGAAGAAGGTCCCCATCTCGATGTTAATGATATGTAGAAATAGTGGGATGGTATGATAGGATTGATGCGGAGAACTTCGAACCGATAAGAAGGGAATGATGGGCGAGCGATCGAGATCGATTCGGGGTTGGGTTAGGAGTGGTGGGGGATAAAGGGGCGTAGGAAGAGCTATAACAAACGTACCTTGTTTACATCGTCAAGAAATAAAGAAGACACCGGCTACAGCTATTATAACGACGAACCATTATTTAACCATTCACACGGTCAGTTTGCAACGGGGCACGCACACTCACGCACGCACGCAACTGTCGTCAACTGAGATCTGAATGTATAGAATAATGCACGAAACCCTTGGCCTACCTAACATTCAAAGTTTAGAGAAAATACTTATGACAAAAAAATATCACCATTTACCCTGTGCAAGTCTCTGTTGTCGAAATGCAAGTGACCAACTGTACTCAAGCGGACAGACTTGCTAGGTACTAGCTGAACATATGGTACAGGTACACAACATGAATACACAGTTACGGAAACCAATCAGAAGCCCCCTAAGTAGGGCGGGTAGCCTGGCGGATGCGTCGGAGCCGACTGAGGATAGGTATAGTATGGGTAGTTTGGGCTGGGCATGTGTAACCCGGGTGCGTAACTCTGGGGATAAGCTGGTATTTGTGGGTAGCCTAATGGAACCGGTTCGTAATGACTACTCCAAGTTGGTGTTGGGTAAATCGGATAACCAGACCCCCCTCCATAATTGTAATGGTTAGGACTCGTCCTGCCTGGAACGTTATAGTTACTAAACTGTCCTGAATATTGCTCTGGAGTGTCGCTCAACGGCGCATCTCCATCCGTGATACTCGGAATCTGGTCCACTAATGATTCCAGTCCGGATAAACTTTTCGATGCTATATCTTGTGGTTGTCTTGGCGACGAGTAATGTTGGGGTTCTTGTGGCGGTTCCATACCGTAATTGTGATGGTACGGATAGTGGGGTTGTTCGCTGGGTGTGGATGGGGCCGGACTGCTCAGTCTGCACTCGCCTTCTTCGGCCATGCTCGTTGGCGGTTCAAAGTCCGGCGGCCCTAGACTTGGCGAAGCTGGCGATCCTAGTTGATCTGAGCTGATCGCTGCGCTTATTTCCGAACTTAAGTCCGAATGAGTAAATGGTTGAGAATGAGGTCTGGGAGATTGGCTGAACGGTGGTCTCGGCGATTGACTGTACGGTGGCCTCGGAGACTGACAGTATTGGGGAGGTTGCGGGGCGTAGAGATTACTTCCGCTATTCGGAGGAGTCAACGCTGACGGCATTGGATAATAATTATTCGGGGAAGTATTCGAGTAGCATTTTGACATATTGGTCGATGTATCGTTCACGGGATTCATATCTTGATCCTCCACTTTAATTTTTTTAGGCCGCCCTCGTTTCTTCTTAGGAAAATCACAATTGTTCGTTTGCACTGGCGGCTTTCGCACCACCGGCTTTGGGGGTTCCTCCCCCTCCACCTTTATCTTTTTAGGCCTTCCGCGTTTTTTCTTACAAGGAACGATCGTGCCGTCTTCGTTTTTGATTACTGCCGGGTTACTCAAGTCGGTGATCTCCGAATAAGGGTCCGGTTTCGGTTCCGCTTCGTAACACGATTTCACTTTCGGCTCACTGAAAATCATCTCCGACTCCTCGATGTCCGGTATTAGACCGTTTAGGTAATCTCGAAATTTCTTTAATGCCGCGTAAAATGGAACTTTATCCGCCGCCCGAGGAAGTTGGGCGCATCTCGCACTCGATGACGGCATTACCCACATATACTAGAAAATAAAACGTATTGAATTTATTAATTTTATTACATTTAGAGCCGGTTCTACAGTCGCTAGACAAACTCCGATTAAATAAATCTCGAAAACGATGCGTTTAAACAAAAATGTCTTTTAAAAATGACTTTTAGAATCAGTTGTCAAATTTTAGGGGTTTATGACATAACAAACTGACCCTGTATAGCATTGATCCCGTGGTTGCATACTTTCAAAACGATTTTTCATGATAAAATTGCACTGTTCACCAAATTTCTTAACTTTGAAAGCCCATATTTTAGCCATTTATGGGTTACGACCAAAAATTTTTACACGAATCATCATCATTTTAACTCTAGTATTTGTGATAAAAATTATGCCACGATTTACAGGAACCCTGTAGTAATGGAATTTAAGATTATCATTTTTTTAATTTCCCTCTGAATAGTATAGAAATTAAATTCAAGGTTATCTTCCTAACTATTGTTTGTATCAAAATATTTTTCAAATAAAACTTGTTTGTAGGCACCATTTTTTAAAATTATCAATTTTTTAATTTCCCTGTGAATAGTATAGAAATTAAATTCTAGGTCATCCTCCTAATTATTGTTTGTATCAAAATATTTTTCAAATAAATCTTGTTAAGAACTAAAAAAGGAACAAGTTTTCTTGGCACCATTTTTGAAAATTATCAGTTTTTTAATTTCCCTCTGAATAATATAGAAATTAAATTCAAGGTTATCTTCTTAATTATTGTTTGTATCAAAATATTTTTCAAATAAAACTTGTTAAGAATTAAACAAGGAACAATGTTTGTAGGCACCATTTTTTAAAATTATCATTTTTTGCATTTCTCTGTGAACAGTGTAAAAATAAAATTCAAGGTTATCTTCCTAATTATTGTTTGTATCAAAATATGTTTCAAATAAAACTTGTTAAGAATTAAACAAGGAACAACGTTTGTAGGCACCATTTTTTTGAATTATCAATTTTTGCATTTCCCTGTGAACAGTATAAAAATGAAATTTGAGATTATCTTCCTAATTATTGTTTGTATCTAAATATTTTTCAAATAAAACTTGTTAAGAATTAAACAAGGAACAACTTTTGTAGGCACTATTTTTTAAAATTATCAATTTTTTAAATTCCCTCTGAATAGTATAGAAATTAAATTCAAGGTTATCTTCTTAATTATTGTTTGCATCAAAATATTTTTCAAATAAAACTTGTTAAGAATTAAACAAGGAACAACGTTTGTAAGCACCATTTTTTAAAATTATCAATTTTCTAATTTCCCTGTGAATAGTATAGAAATTAAATTCTAGGTCATCCTACTAATTATTGTTTGTATCAAAATAATTTTCAAATAAAACTTGTTAAGAATTAAAAAAGGAACAACTTTTCTTGGCACCATTTTTGAAAATTATCAATTTTTAATTTCCCTGTGAATAGTATAGAAATTAAATTCAAGGTCATCTTCCTAATTATTGTTTGCATCAAACTATTTTTCAAATAAAACTTGTTAAGAATTAAACAAGGAACAACTTTTGTAGGCACCATTTTTTTAAATTATTAATTTTTGCATTTCTCTGTGAACAGTGTAGAAATGAAATTCAAGGTTATCTTCCTAATTATTGTTTGTATCAAAATATGTTTCAAATAAAACTTGTTAAGAATTAAACAAGGAACAACGTTTGTAGGCACCATTTTTTTGAATTATCAATTTTTGCATTTCCCTGTGAACAGTATAAAAATGAAATTTGAGATTATCTTCCTAATTATTGTTTGTATCTAAATATTTTTCAAATAAAACTTGTTAAGAATTAAACAAGGAACAACTTTTGTAGGCACCATTTTTTAAAATTATCAATTTTTGCATTTCCCTGTGAACAGTATAAAAATGAAATTTAAGATTATCTTCCTAATTATTGTTTGTATCAAAATATTTTTCAAATAAAACTTGTTAAGAATTAAACAAGGAACAACTTTTGTAGGCACCATTTTTTAAAATTATCAATTTTTTAATTTCCCTCTGAATAGTATAGAAATGAAATTTAAGGATATCTTCCTAAATATTGTTTGTATCAAAATATTTTTCAAATAAAACTTGTTAAGAATTAAACAAGGAACAACTTTTGTAGGCACCATTTTTTAAAATTATCAATTTTTTAATTTCCCTCTGAATAGTATAGAAATGAAATTTAAGGATATCTTCCTAAATATTGTTTGTATCAAAATATTTTTCAAATAAAACTTGTTAAGAATTAAACAAGGAACAACTTTTGTAGGCACCATTTTTTAAAATTATCAATTTTTTAATTTCCCTCTGAATAGTATAGAAATGAAATTTAAGGATATCTTCCTAAATATTGTTTGTATCAAAATATTTTTCAAATAAAACTTGTTAAGAATTAAACAAGGAACAACGTTTGTAGGCACCATTTTTTAAAATTATAAATTTTCTAATTTATCTATGAACAGTATAGAAACTTAATTCAAAATTATCTTCCTAATTATTGTTTGTATCAAAATATTTTTCAAATAAAACTTGTTAAGAATTAAACAAGGAACAACGTTTGTAGGCACCATTTTTTAAAATTATAAATTTTCTAATTTATCTATGAACAGTATAGAAACTTAATTCAAAATTATCTTCCTAATTATTGTTTGTATCAAAATATTTTTTAAATAAAACTTGTTAAGAATTAAACAAGGAACAACGTTTGTAGGCACCATTTTTTAAAATTAACGATTTTTGCATTTCCCTGTGAACAGTATAAAAATGAAATTTAAGATTATCTTCTTAATTATTGTTTGTATCAAAATATTTTTGAAATAAAGTTTGTTAAGAATTAAAAAAGGAACAACTTTTCTTAGCTCCATTTTTTAAAATTATTATATAATAAGTAATAATAAGTTATATAATTAGTATATATGAAAGGTCTACCGGAATCCCTTCAGACTAGACTTCAGTACGCCGCGGCAAATCCAGTCTGGAACACAAACACCAGCACAATCTTTTCCGACATGGCTTATTTCTGTTTCTTTTTAATTTGTAATTCGATCTTTAAACTGACGAGAATTGACTTTTCAAGTTACCTAGCGACTTTAGAACCGGCCCTTAATTAAATTTATTTATTTACAGTGTTTGTGCCTTCAACAAGATCAGGTTGTCGTCCAAAATTGAAGTCTTTCTTCCCGGAAAACACCTCGTAAATTAACTTTCCGTTAAAAACGGCGATTTTCGGTCGAAACTTCTTCAGTTTCTCCAAAAGTATTTGGCTACCCTCTTTGATTTCTTTGCGGGTTAGGTCGGCACTTCCCTTCGTTGCCCTTTGGACCATGTTGGTGAATCCTATGCCAACCTGGAGAAGCTTGTAGTCTTCATCGGCAGACATTTGTTGTTGTGTCAGTCCCGATAGGTATAAACATTTCCAAAAATGATTCCCCGGACCCGCGTAGTGATGCCCTTTATAGGCTGCGAATAACCCTGGATTTATCCCAATCTATTAAAAAAAAAAAAAAAAGTTGAGTTAATTTTTTTTCAATACAACACGTTGAAGCGACCTTGAATACAATTTTACATCACAATAGAATGCAATGAAAATGTAAATAATAAATTAAGTACCTAATGTCATTAAGTTAGCATAAATTTATTTAAAAAAAATTTGTTCTGGATAATTTCGGGGGTAAAAAAATACTTAATTGAGGATAACAAGAAGTCACTCAATCCATTTGGAGTTGTAAATAAGTCGGTTTGTTGTTTATGTTTTATTTTTTTTTCTTTGGGAATAGTTTATTGTTTTAGTGTCAGCGTAAATAAAAATAGAGCGGGCTGGCATCTTGCCAAGAGAGTAAGTACAACTAAAAATTGACGCCCACGCGCTCACTGGCGAGCTGGGTTTAAAATAAAATATACCATCCCACTAGATTTTGCAGGCCAAAATTTCGAATATCCGCAAAAAGAAGCCGAATATTTCAAATAATTTGGATCTACTTACAATAATTATATCTAAATTTGAAGCTAAGTGGTCAGGCAGAGTTCTCTTGGAGACCTCCTCCTCGGGCATACCGTTGAACCGGTCGTGTTTCTTTCTCTCCTTGATAGGTCTAGGCATGCCATTCATTTCTTGTACAAATTCCGGTCTATATTCAAAAAATCTTTTGAATATTTTTAAAGTTTTCTTAATAAAGTATAATTAAAAACTTACTGGTCTGGTTTAATCTTCTTTTTTCTACCACGCTTCTTGGGCATTGGTACTAATTGGTTGTTTATTGGTTGTGGTGGGTTCACACAGGGGCCCTGTGGGGCGGGCAACATAGGCATGGGATCATCATCAATGAAACTATAGGGATCCTCCAATTTTTCACATTTCACTTCATGTCCCATAGTGTTGGTGTTAGACAAGAGCATATCAGCACTTGTTTCATAACCATCATCTTGTGGTTCCAGCTTCATATTGCTAATGATAATGATGATGACGACGGGTTTTATTTACATTTTGGGTTGGGTTAGATTTTGATGTGACTTACAGTTTGTACTTGTTGTTGTACGGATGTCCGTAGGAGTCGTAGGGTAGAGTTCCTGGGCCCAACGTGGATAAACCGGAATCGGGCCCCGAGACTCCGCCCGTGTCCATAGTAGCGCCCAGCAACGTGCTGGACTCGCGAAATAAAGTAGCCACCTGCATCGGAGGAGAATCGGTGTGCATGCACCGAGCTCCTATTGGCCCGGAAAATCGACACCTGCACCAACTTTACATGTAGCACCGCACTGGCCTCGCAAAAACCCAACAACAACCTCACCCTTCAAAAATAGTCCTAACTCTGTGATTGGTTCAACGAACGTTTCAGAAAAATCAATAGAATGTTATCGGCCTGTATTTTTGTGTAAGCTCCTGCTCCGGAGCTCATTGTGGATGTCTCCGTCGGCGTCGCTTCAAAGCGACGTCCGTCCCTACATTTTCACCCTGGCGCATTCTATTCAAAAATTCGAACAACTAAAAAACTTGCCTCCGCCTTCTTTTAGTTCACCTACCAACCCATAGAGCACGCAACTCCTAACCTAACTCGTTTAAAAAAAATAAAAGAAAACATCATTCTTTTTACAACAAATTATATTAAACTATCAATCATCGATGATCACTTCATTTATTATAACAATTAATGACAAACTTTCAATCAAAAATTGCGCTTTTATTAAAATTTCGATGTTTATTTTTTTTTAAACAACATTCAAGTGAAAGAGAGAGCTATATATTGCTCTCTCCACTTATGAAAGTATCCCGAACTATACAGCTGTCCCATTAATACTTTATCAATCTTATTTCGTAAATTTTTTTAAATACATTAAAATTGATTTTTATGAACAAATTTAGTCACAAATTTTCTTATTTTTAATAAAAACAAAAAATATGTTTTAATAACTACACTGCTCAAAAAAATTAGGGGAACACTTTTTTCGAAATCTCTACCATTTCGAAGTCTCTTCCATTTTTATAACCTTCTCGAGTCAGCTAATTTTATTTATTGACTTGATTGTAGATTCTTTTCATCTCTGCTTCAGGGAGAGAAAATAAATAGTTCGAAAATATCCTGGTTCAACAATGAAATTAAGTCTGCTAGGAATGCACTTCACTTGCTGTTCGATATCAACAGACACCGGCCAACGGTAGTGTCGAGAGTTCAAGTCAGATACTATTTACCGCAAACTTATTACTGACTCTAAGAAAAGAGCCAACAGTCAACATATTGAAAACTCAGGAAACAAGCAGCGTGCTATTTGGGAAGTTATTCGGAACACCAATCCTTCAACTTGTAACCGTTCGTCCGACAAACTCATGGCCTCTGACCTAAACGCATACTTTGCTAATGTGGCCGAAAGTGTTCTCAATGATATTAACATTCCTACACTCAATGATCATAATAATAAACTCAAAATTAAAAAATTCGATGTCCAGAGATGTGCATCAATTAAACAGTAGCTTAATTAAAACAGTCTCGAATATAATTGTTATGCATAATGTACCCATTATGCAAAATAATAAACCAGTGCTTATTAAACTCGATTTTTCCGGAATGCCTAAAAGTGGCAAAGGTTATTCCTATTCATATCCTATCCATATGCCAATTTTCGGGAAAATCTTTAAAATAGTTTTAAACAAACAAATGGCAACTCACCTCAATCTGGACCTTAGTACAATTTGTTCAGAATGGTTTCTAGGCCAATATTTATTCGTTGTGCGGCTTGATGGCGAATATGTCCAACCCAAGGCGGTCCACTGTCCTCTCCATGCGAAGTATTGGGGAATTTCTATACGAATTTGTCTGGGCAGTCGGCGCATAAAACAGAAAGTCATAGGCGCAGCCGACGAGGGGGAACATGCAGATCAATGCGTGAAAGAAGATAGGAAGAATCACAGTTGCCTCTGACCAACCTAAACAGAAAGCAGGCATCATTGCAAGTTCTGCGCTGCTGAAGTGTGGGCATATAATAATTTATACGAGAGATACTTCAGAAACCTTATCTGAATCCTCTCTATTCTGTTAATGTACGTGTCGTACTGAGGGTTCCAAACTGTACTGCCGAACGATAAAATACTATTAACGAAAGCATTGTATAAAGAGCGCATTACAAATCCCAGCATCCTATTAGCTCTGGCCACCACTGCATCAACGTGTTGATCAAACAGTAATTTGTCTTTAATAGAGTCAACACGATCCAGTAAGCATGTTCCGCACCGGTAATCAAATTTAATGAACTCCTTTTTTCTCGTAAAAGTAACAGTCCGATATGTTAAGTGACAAATTATTAATCTTACAAAAATCATAAAATCTGTTCAGGTCATTCTGAAGGTTAACGCAGTCTGAAACACCAGCAACAGGAGAAAATAATTTAATGTCGTCAGCATACATAAGACATCTTGAGGTAAGAAAAGACTTGGTGATGTCACCTATGTACACCGTAAACAAGAGCGGGCCCAGATGACTACCCTGAGGCACTCCGGAAGACATGATAGCAGGAACTTCATCTATTCCTGACCCAAGAGTTGCACATCATCATTTGGATCCGTTTAGAAGTCCTAACGCTTTCGCGTAGCGAAACCAATAAAGCTCTAAAACCAAAAAACTCCAAAAAAAAACGAGGGCTCTCCGGGAATCCACCGATAAATCGAAGCATCCACCTATCCACATCCAGAAAATAGTCCATAATCTTTCAGAATATAATCTCTCCGATGCCGAAAAAACCGTCTTAAGCAAAGGTTTCAACTACGTCCTAACCCCTAGGACTATTCCAGTCAAAGAAATCATTGCCAACGTCGAATCCAGCTTAACCACAATGGACAAACAAAAAAAATGGACAAATTTATTCCATCCCCTGCGGCTCATGCGACAAGAACTACATGGGACAGACCAACAGAAGAATAGCCGCCAGAGTGGAGGAACATAAACCTGAGCATCCGCCACAAACTTGCGCTACCATCTTGACACAGGACACACCATCAACTTTGAGGGTTGCAAAGAAATAGCCAACGTTCCACAATGGAGGACCGTTCCACGTGTAAAACAGTCCTACACCGTCCCCGATCCAGAACAGCCTTCCCAAGATATGAACCATCAAACTCCGAACAGCAGGTCAGTGAACTCCCCGCACCACCCACGACATCCGGTGGAAAAACCCCAAGACCATGAATCGCCGGACGGCAGGCCAATGTCCTCTTCCTACCACCCACAGTTTTACGTGCATCTTCAATTTTCTAAATAGGGCAGGTGTTTAATGATAATAATCTTCTTGAAAGTGAAGCTTATCCAGAGTTGGTAAGCGACTTGAATATGAAGAGCCACTAGCTTCGATATTAATCTTCTGGCAATATTTTCTTTATTTCATTTCTTCTTCCTAACACTTATATTTTGTATCAAAAAAACAATAAATGCCATTTGGAGAATTAATTTGAATTTAGGTATAACTAGAATAATTTTTTTTAAAGTAATTAAATTCAACTCATCTTAATACCAAAAATTCTTCCGCCAACCTCAGTTTTTAAGGATTTTCGGTATTATGCTGATTGTTGTATCTCATCTTCTGGCTTTCTCCATATCATCATTGCCACCACAACCTCTGATGGGTCTGGGCCTGTTCTAGGATCAGCTTCCACTCTCTTCTATCTCGTGCCTTGGCCTTCTAGTTTCTAACTCCCAGTATTTTTAGACTTTCTTCCACCTGGTCCTTATATCTGCTTCTAGGACTGCCTTTTTTTGCGGGTTCCAAAAATTGTTTGGCGCTATATGTCAAAATTGTAACGCTTTCTCCATATTCCGTTTTCTTCATCTACTGGAATTAATTGTGGCAAAAATGCTTTTTTTATGGTTTGCGATGACATCAAGGTCATGAATAATTTTTTGTCCACAAAGAAGGAAAATTTACCATAATTTTTTTCTGTTAGACTACAAAAATTAATTAAAAATATACTTCATATATGCGATAAAGTAAAAATTGTGATACGTGATAAAATTTAAGAAATGATTTATGGTTAAATAGTCTTAAATTATAAATTATTATAAGTATGTCAACTTATTTCGGGACAGCTGTATATAAGGTAGTAACCATTTTCTTTTTTTTTTTAATTCATTCATTTATTTTATAAATGTTTTTATAAATATTTTATTTATGAGGGCAATTTTTCATTATAATTCGATTAAAAAAAGCAATTAAAATAACTTAATCCAAAAAAAGCATTAGTCAATGTCACGGTTAAAATTAGTCGATAAAAAAAAACGTTTAAAACTACCGTTTCATTCATTTTTATAACCTACGTTCTTACAACCAAAGTTTTTTTTTTGTTGTTTTATGATGTTTCCAGAAACAAGTTAATACAAGGTTGACCTACTTTTTTATCTATCTTTTTTTATCTAATAGTTGAAAACGTAATCTTTAAATTTTTTCTGCTTATAGTTTATCTACCAAGCAATAGAGTGCGCGTTAAAACTAAAAAAAAAAAGAAATGTGATAGAATTTAACATGTCCTTGTTAGATATAAGAATGACGCAAACATTAGCAATTAGGTGACGTAATTTTTTCCATAATGGTCGAAATAAGTAATCAATTATCAATTACGGACAATTGGGACAACACCAGTTTAACAACAAACTGAATATTAATTTCGTTTAATTAAAAATATTGTATATAATATATTATTGTTGGGGAGGACGTTCAATAACGTTTTGTTAAAAAACAAGATGAATGAGATCTTAAAGAAAAAAATAAATAAATAAACGTTGAATTAATCCCAATTGAAAAATCACTGCGAATTAACTTCTTCAATTCATACTCTCAAACAAAATTCACCGTATTCGTTTATGGACAGATGGCGCCAGTCGTACCAACCGCTTGCCGCAGAACCGTTTTGTAACCCCAAACCAACCAAACGTTAAGCAAAACAAGAACAAGAGAGAAGAGTCCGCGACCAGCGTTTTTGCGAACGTCAAAACGTGCAGCTGTTCTCTTACAAAGAGATCATTCTGAAAGAAACTCTGAGAGAAAACACGTTAATATATAACTGAATATATCACTTTAAAACAGTCTTATTTTCGATGTTGCGATTATCGATCGGCTTTAAACGGATAAGTTAGAGTTCTCTCTTTCGATAGAGTGTCAAGTGCATGTAGAAAACAAGGAGTGAGGCGGAGTGAAGTGACACAAACGTCCCGACCGCGCCTATCGTCGTTTTCCACCGGATTTCTTAGTAGTTTTTTAGTGTTACACTTTAGAATGGATTATCACCCTGTCACCTTTTCATAATCAGGTAAAAAGCTTTTTTTATCTTATCTGATTAAGCTTATCTGAACATATAAAAACAATCCGTTATACAAGTTAAAGGGCTTCAGTAGCCATTTATATACTATATTTTGTTTCAAAACAATCGCATAAAAAAAAAGAATGTTTTTTTTGTTTTTTTTTTATGTTCTTATATAACATTATAAAAAGGACTCTTTCACCGTTGAAAGACTTCTTTTTTTGTGTATTAACAACTTGTATGATTTTGAGTTCTTAAAAGAAATAGGGCGTGTTATTTTTAACCGTCGTTATTAATAAATTACTCATCTTCGTCTGTACATTCTATTGTGGACGATGAGGTCATTTGTGTATGTGTGCGTTGCGGTTTGTAGATTAAATGATATTCGAGGAAGTAGTGGTTGCTATATTCTATGGATTTTCAAAGAAGTGGTCGATCGGATTTACGGAGACGCTAATAACGTTAGTGTCGCCGCCGATTATTGATTGGCTCACTGGATGACATCATCATGTTATATTTAAATGTCACATAACCTAAGCTAACCTAATAAATATATTCATGATCTTCAATCCGTGTGCACTATATATTAATTCATTAGAAATATATATGACATCAATATTTTTGTTATTCAAAAATTCGGTTTTTTAATATTTCGAGAATTAATTTGAATTTAGGTCTAACTACCATATTTTTTTTTAAGTTAGGTTGGGTTGTTATGGAAATGAGTCAACCTAACTCCAATTAAACCCAACTCAGCTTAATACGGAAAATTCTTCACACAACCTCAGTTTTTACGGTTTTTCGGTTGACTTGAGTTTAACTGGAGGTAGGTTGGGTTGCTATGAAAAAAGACCCAACCTAACTCTAATTAAACCCAACCCAACTTAATACCGAAAATCCTCTATTAAACGTCAGTTTTTAAGGATTTTCGGTGTTAGGTTGAGTTCGGTTTAATTGGAGGTAGGTTGGGTCCTTCTCATAAAAACCCAACCTTTAAAACAAGGATTTTCAGTGTTAGGTTGAGTTGGGTTTCATCGGAGAGAGGTTGGGTTGTCATGCAAATTACCCAATCTAACTCCAATTAAACCCAATTCATCCTAATTCCGAAAATTCTTCCTTCAACGTTAATTTTTAAGGATTTTCGGTATTAGGTTGAGTTGGGTTTTATTGGACGTAGGTTGGGTTGATATGATAAGGACCCAACTCAGCTCAATACCGAAAATTTTTCCTCCAACCTCACTTTTTACGGTTTTTCGCTTGACTCAGCTTAATACCGAAAATCCTCCATTAAACGTCAGTTTTTAAGGCTTTTCGGTGTTAGGTTGAGTTGGGTTTAATTGGAGGTAGGTTGGGTCCTTCTCATAAAAACCCAACCTAAATTGCCGGTAAAACAAGGATTTTCAGTGTTAGGTTGAGTTGGGTTTCATGCAAAGGACCCAACCTAACTCCAATTAAACCCAATTCATCCTAATTCCGAAAATTCTTTCTTCAACGTTAGATTTTAAGGATTTTCGGTATTAGGTTGAGTTGGGTTTAATTGGACGTAGATTGGGTTGATATGATAAGGACCCAACGCAGCTTAATACCGAAAATTTTTCCTCCAACTTCACTTTTAAGAATTTTCGGTTTCAAGTTGAGTTAAGTTTAATTGGAGGTAGGTTGGGTTATCTTGAAAAGGACCCAACCTAACTTCAATTAAACCCAACTCAACCCAACACCGAAAATTCCGGTTGAGTTGGGTTTAAATTGATCACAACACTAAGAGCAGGTGTTTGATGATAATAATCTTCTTGAATCTGGGTTGGCAGTGTTTTTTTCTAACCTCAGTTTTTAAGGATTTTGTGTCAATGGTATCAGGTTGAGTTACTCTTAATTGGAGATAGGTTGGGTTGTTGTGAAAAGAACTCAACCTAACTCCAATTAAACTCAACGCAACTTAATACCAAAAATTTTTCCCACAACCTCAATTTTTGAAGTTTTTCAGTGTTAGGTTGACTTGAGTTCAAGTGGAGGTAGGTTGGGTTGTTATGAAAAAGATTCAACCTAACCCAACTCAGGTTAATACCAAAAATTCTTCTCACGACCTCAGTTTTTAAGGATTTTCGGTGTTAGGTTGAGTTGGATTTAATTGGAGGTAGGTTGGGTCCTTCTCATCAACCCAACCTACCTCCAATTAAACGCAACTCATCCTAATACAAGTAGCCCTCGGTTTAGGCCAGCTCAATTTAGGACATTTCACAATTACGCCGCTACGCAGTTTGCTGTTTCGCTGTGTGAATCCCCGATGTCTCGATCGGTGTTTCCTCTTATACTAGACCGATTTTCGTTGTACAATGTAGTTGGTTTTAGTGTTATGTATTTACTGATTGTTGGGTATGTATTATATGTTTTTAAAATAATATTGAAATAAATAAAAATGTAGGTATCCACCTTTATAACAATAAAGAAGGATTGCCTAACCGTGTTAAGAAGGTACGGAAATCTATTTCAGTAGAAACAAGAATGGAAGTAATTCGATTAATGGAAAACGGACGGACACGCCCTAATGTTTGTAGTTCTTTAAACTTGCCTCCATCAACTGTTACTGAAAAATATAGATAATATTAAACACTCTGCTCATCAGTCTACAGCATATTAAATATGGAAGTTATAGCAGAGGTAGAATATTTGAAAAAATGGAAAAATTGTCAAAGAAATCAAAAAAATATTTCAGTGACTCAAGCTGCTATAACGGAAAAAGCAAAATCAATTTTTAATAATCTTAAGGAAACAGATGAAGGTTTATGAGATTTAAATCCCGACGTAATTGTCGTAGTGTGAAATTATGTGATGAAGTAGCAAGTGCAGATGTTGCGACGGCGGCTTTTTTTCCTAAGGAATTTGAGGATTATGTAGAACAAGGCAACTATTCTCCAAAGTTAATTTTCAACATTGATGAGACAGGTCTTTATTGGAAGAAGTTGCAAGCACGAACATAGTAAACAGCAATTTGCTCCAGGTTTTAAATAACTCTTTTGCTGGGAGCGAATGTTTCAGGTACTTTGAAACTTAAATCGATGTTAGTGTACCATTCACAGACACCACGTGCTTTAAAGGGTCTTAATAAAGACATGTTACCAGTTTACTAGAAATGGAACAAGCAAGCTTGGGTTACACAAGCTATTTTTACAGATTGGTATATTGGTAATATTGCAGGACATCCTCAAAACCTGGAAGAAATCAAAACACATTGGCTGTCTAAGTTCTTTGCGTGCATCCAAATACAACATCACTTTTACAACCAATGTATCAGGTGTTGTCATGTTATTATGACATATATAAATTCATGAATTTAGGACACTTCAGATAAAGTAGTCAAAGAGTATTGGCGGTCTTTCGATATTTTAAAATGCATTAATAATGTAAAGTCTGCTTGGGATGAAGTTTCGGCAAAATGTTTAAATGTGGTTGTTGTAAACTTCTGCCAGCATTAATGCACGATTTTGAAGAAGTACCACAACAGGAGGATCTAATTGAAGACATTATCAGACTTGCAGGCGATTTGAGATTGGAAACTGTTACTGCTAAAGATATCACAGAACATTTAGAAGTCCAAGATCACTCTCTAAAGAAGACCTAGAAGAATTATATAAAGAATTGGATCGTGAACAGCCAGAGAATGAAGATAAGGAAGAAGAAATTCCAAAAGTGATGAAAACGGTCAATCTAAAGCGTATTCTTTCATCTATGGAAAGTTTGAGTGATGAACTTTGTGCGTCCAAAAAATATAAGACATCGAAAGTTTTGAAAGTATAATTTGCCATAAAATCCGTTTTAAAGATTATATTTTTATATTGTTTATTATATTATTCAACTTTAACTATAGTTAATACAAATAATATATTGTAATGTTAAAAAACAACATTATTCTTTTAATTTTGAGGTACGTGCAACCTAATCCTATACGTATGTGTATGTATACCTCACTGTAAATTTATCCGATTTCGATTTACGTCGGCGCTTGTAGGAACGGAACTGCGGCGTAAACCAAGGGCTACCTATACCAAAAATTCTAACTCCAATTAAATCCAACTCAGTCTAATGCCGAAAATCCTTCCTCCAATGTCAGTTTTTAAGAATTGTTAAAGGCCAACTTTCATGATAACCCAACCTACCTCCAATTAAACCCATCTCAGCTTAATACCAAAAATTCTTCCCACAACCTCAGTTTTTAAGATTTTTCGGTGTTAGGTTGCGTTTTGTTTTATTAGAGGTAGGTTAGTTTGTTATGAAAAGAACCCACCCTAACTCTAATAGTTAGTTACTCTAATAGGTAACTTTTTTGAGCTATCTAGCAGCCAAAAAGTAATTTAAATTTGGAATTGTCTGAGTATTGATGCAATTCTTATTTGAACACTTCTTCGATTTTTCGTAGTTATAGCGAATTATTTAATTAGTGTGGATATTATTATTTCGTATTTTTGGCCCACACTTTTCTAACAACTTAGTTAATATAATCATTTTTAAGATATAATTTATAACATTAACATATCTTTTTATTCTTTTAACTAGGTATAAAAGATAGATCGAAATGTATAGGAAATTGTCGATAGTTTTGTTGCTCCTGGGAGCCGTCTATGTAACATGTAGAGAAAGTAAGTTACAAAACAATTTATCCCAACTTCTCACAAATAAATTGTTTTTTTTTTGTCAAGTTCCCTCTCCGCCTAGAATCATGAAACAACCACCTACAGATGAAGTCCTTTTTCAAGTCCAAGCAGACGAAAATTACAAACCATTCTACATTGAATGCGAAGCCATTGGAGAACCAGCTCCGAAGTAAGTTTAATCAACACCCCAATTTAACAATTTCATTTATTTGTTTTATTTTGAATTAAATAACATAGATATCGTTGGATTAAAAACGGGAAACCCTTTGAATACCAAACTTACGATAATCGAATTATTCAACAACCAGGGAGGGGAACGTTGACTATAACGCGACCGAATAATGAAGATTTGGGTCAATACCAATGTTTCGCTGAAAACGAACATGGCGTAGCTACTTCGAATTCCGTTTTTATGCGAAAAGCCGAATTAAATAATTTTAAAAATGTTGGTGTTTCCCCAAGGACAGGAAATGAGGGCGAACCTTTTAAACTGGAATGTCAACCACCGGATGGTTGGCCCAAACCGAAAGTTTATTGGATAAAACTTTACACGACCGATCAATTTGAAACGATTAACGATCCGAGAAAAACTGTAGATCCCGAAGGAAATTTATGGTTTACAAATTTAACGAGACAAGATGCGAGTGAAAACTTTATGTACGCTTGCGGAGCCGGGTCAGTAACAAAAAGCGAATTCAAAATTGGGAATCGAATTAAATTACAAGTTAGACCAACGGGAGTTTCAGCCGCGGAAAGCAAATTCGCTCCAGTTAAACAATACGTAACGAGAAAAAATGAAGTTGGAATAAGAGGAAAAAGTATTGAAATCTTTTGTATTTATGGTGGAACACCGTTACCACAAACAGTTTGGAAAAAAGATAACCAACCCGTTGAATTCAACGACCGTGTAACACCAGGAACGTTCGGAAAATCTCTAATAATACGATTAATCGATTTCGAAGATAGGGGAACTTATTCTTGCGAAGTTACCAATGGAGCCCCACCAGCTCAAACATACTCAGTTAATTTAGACGTTCAAGCTATACCTTATTTTACGGAAGAACCAGAGTTTATAAATGCAGCTGAAGGTGAAACCGTCGCATTTCGTTGTGCTGCTAAAGGTTTACCTGTACCAGAAATCAAATGGATCCATAACGGAAAACCCATTGCTCAAGCGCCATACAATCCACGGCGAAAAGTGAATCCAAATAGTATCGTCATTGAAAATTTAATTAAAAATGATACCGGAAATTACGGTTGTAACGCAACAAATTCTTTAGGATACGTTTACAAGGATGTTTATATAAACGTCCTTGCTTTAGCACCAGAAATTACTCAAGGACCGCAAGATGATGAAGCTGTTGATGGGAAAGCTGTAAATATTACTTGTAGAGTATTTGGAGCACCAAAACCCGCCGTTAAATGGATAAGAAATGGCGAAGAATTAACCGGCGGTAAATTTAAAGTGATGACAAACGGCGATTTATTTATTTCTTCCGTACAATTTGATGATAACGGCGAATATACTTGTTATGCTGAAAATAAATTTGGCAACGCAAACGCTAGCGCTAAGTTTACAGTTCGACCTCATACTTATATATCGGATGGGCCTGAAGATTACGAAGTAGCTGCAGGTACTCAGGCGACTTTTCGATGTAACGCAATTGCCGATGAAGATTTAGATTTACAAATAATTTGGTTGAAAAATGGAATACCTCTAGATTTTGACCAAGAAGCCAGGTTTATTAAAACTTCCGATTACTCATTAACAATCACTAAAACAATCGAATTGGATTCAGGAAATTATACATGTAAAGCTAAAACTAGATTAGACGAAGTGTCTGCTCAAGCAAGATTAACTGTTCAAGATGTTCCAAACGCTCCACAAATGTCAAACGTTAAATGTAATGAATTGGATGCCACAATTGATTGGACGCCCAGAGGTGATAATCGAGCTGGAATTTTAAGATATATTATTCAATACAATACTAGTTTTACCCCGGATACTTGGGAAGTAGCTTCTGATATGGTTCCTCAATCTCAAACAAATTATAACGTCCCAATGAGTCCATGGGCAAATTATACATTTAGAGTAATAGCTGTAAATAAAATTGGTTTATCTATACCTTCATCTCATTCAGGGGTTTGTACGACGCAAGCGGATGTTCCGCATAAAAACCCAGATAATGTTGAAGGTGAAGGTACCCAACCAGACAATTTAGTGATAAAATGGACTCCTATGCCGGAAATTGAACATAATGGTCCGAATTTCGAATACGTCGTTTATTACAAATTGGATATTCCTGGTATACCATATGAAGAGAGGGTAGTTTCTGATTGGAGAACGGGACAAAAAGTTATTGGAGGCCAAAGAAGTTTCCAACAATATAAAATAAAAGTTATTGCGAAAAATCAACAGGGCGAAGCGAACGTTTCACCAAAAGAAGTTATTGGATATTCAGGGGAAGATATACCTTCTTTAGCACCAACGAATTTTACAGTCGAAAATATACAAAGTGCGACGGCGGCTTTATTAAGTTGGAACCCAGTTCCTTTAGAAAGTGTTCATGGACACCTTAAAGGTTATAAGATAAGAACTTGGACGAATACAAGTGCTGCTGATCACGAAATTCAAGTCCAAGGTGAAGCGACAAAAGCCTTAGTAACCAGTTTTGTACCATTTTCCAAAAATTACGCTCAAGTTTACGTTTATAATGGGAAATATAACGGCCCTCCAAGCGAGATTTTAAGTTTTGAAACACCAGAAGGCGTCCCCGGACAAATGTCATCATTAGAAGCTTACCCAATGGGTTCTTCCGCTTTTCTATTAGTATGGCAAAAACCTGATCAACCAAACGGAATTTTGACCGGATATAAAATTTCTTATGCCGTTGTTAATGGAACAGCGGTTGGTCCAAAATCGACGAGAGACCCACAAATCAACGATCCAAATATCTTACAAGCCAAGTTAGCTGGATTATCGCCAAACGTAAAATATCGAATATATATTTCCGCAACAACCGCGACAGGAGATTCAAAAGAATACTTCATTGAAAGATCAACCAAGCCGGAAGGATACGCAATGCCTTATTCACCTAAATTCGTATGGAATCAAGAACCGTTAAAAGGAAATTACGCTAGCGTGAAAGTCAGATGGTTACCAAACTACGACAGAACAGGTTCACACTTTTTCGTTAAATACAGGAAGAAGGGTGAAGTTGAATTTATGCGAACGGAAGATGAATATAAAGAAGATTGGATTGTTATTGATACATTAAAACAAGGCGAATTATACGAATTTGTAATTGTGGCCGTCGATGGAACCTATATGGTAGCTAGCGAACCTCAAGACGTCGATACCGGTCTTGAAGGTCCCATTATTCAACATAGAGAAAATGTCGCCACTGCCGGATGGTTTATTGGAATGATGTTAGCCATAGCATTTTTGTTATTAGTTTTGATAATCGTTTGTATCGTCAAAAGGAATCGCGGCGGAAAATACGCCGTTCACGAGCGCGAACAAGCGAATGGAAGGCGGGATTATGGAGACGAAGGGGGTTTCCATGAGTATTCTCAACCTTTGGACAATAAATCTCATGGTAGAGCTTCTATGAGTAGTGAGCCTAAAATGGAAGCTGGTAGTGACACCGATTCAATGGCCGAGTATGGGGAAGGAGATACAGGTAATTTTTTAATTTCTTTTTGGGTTGAATATTTAAAAAAAATATTATTTTTATCTATAAATATGGCGAAATTCCCTTAACTAAAACCAACAAACTATTACTCTTGTCTTTCTATCTAGTTTACAAGCCGATATCTTCGTTGTTTTTAAAGATAGCAGAATATTAAGCGCACCACTAGAAAGCCTGATCTTTTCTTCATCTAAAACCGGTCGAAACAGGTTTTGTCCAGTCGATATCTTGATATCCATAGCGGAAAAAAAATTAGAGAACGTCGCCGCGTTCCGAATACACCTCAAAATTATCAAATTTCAAGCCCATGAGTAGTCGTTATGGAACCAAATTTTAAAAACAGCTTTATCAATTTAGAAAGAACACACCTTGGGCTATCTAAATCCGGGTTTTGTCTCGTCAATATCTATTGGCGTCGGCCATGAAACACGCTTTATAAACAACACTACATGGAATCGGTAAATTAACTTTTCTCAGTACAACTCCTTTATTTGGTGGAGATTCATGCAACGAACATCTCGAATGTGTTTCAACTTCATGCTAAGGGACGTGCTATTCCTCATATACTCTCCAAGTAATACCCGTTCTGCACTTTTTTCATAACGACTTAGTAGTTCTGTATGATTAAAATTTAAGGATGTACTAAAAACTTTTACTTGCCACTGTGCAAGTAGAATTTACTGCCTTTATTTTTTCTTTTAACAAAAATGGTAATGCGTTTAATGTTTTATCATTATTTTCTAAATATTGAGCTTCGTCCGGATTTAAATAGAAACTACCTTCACACATATTGCACGTTGTAAATGCTTGTGCAATCATGTGATATGCTAAAGTTATATACCACTGTAAAGAGCAGAAAATTTCCTATAGGATTTATATAGTCTCAGAGTTTTGTCCGTATCATATAAGAAAGTTATGACGCCGTAAACATTTGCATACGGGTATTATACGCAGTTTTGAAGTTTTTGGGGGAGAAAATGCGTGTGCAATCATGTCATATACTAAAGTTATATACCACTTTAAAGAGCGGGAAATTTCCTATAAGTTTTATGTGGTTTTAAAGTTTTGTTCATATCATATAAGAAAGTTATTGACCGGAAAGTGATTTAATGCGCTGCAAAAACGCACCGGTAAGGGTGTTTTTATAAAAATTTCTTATAATATTGATTCGGGTTTTAGATGAAGGAAAGATCAGACTTTCTAGTGGTGTATTTAATATTCCGCTAAGTCTGAAGAGAACGAAGTTATCGGCTTGTAAAGTAGATAGAAAAACATGGGTAATAGGAGTTTACGAAAATTATTCAATGTATAATTAGAGGATAATTCGAGATATAAAAGTTGGAGTTAGGGGAATTTCACTGTAATTATTTTTTTATCGGCTTACTCAAAGGAAAATTTAAGCCAAAGGGATTTTTGTGTCAATTTGATTAATCTTAAATAGAACTTTTCGCCTCTTCTAATCTAATTTATCATCAACTTTAATATAATTTTATTTTTGTTTGCGAATTAAATTTTATTTAATACCATCCTTTTATTTACTTTCGTTTACGTTTTTCTTTTAATTTATTCAGAGGGTATGAACGAAGACGGGTCATTTATCGGGCAATATGGCAGACAAAGGCGGCAAGGCGAAACGACATCTCAAGGATTTACCACTTTAGTGTGATTACGTAAGCTTTAGTTGAATCATTTTTTTTTCATCAATTTCAATTTCCGGTAGACATTTTTATTTTGTTGTTTGGGGTTGGAGTTTTAATTAATATAATGTAATAGATTAATTTTAAGGAAATTTTATGTAATTTTTTGATTTTAATTTTAATAGGAAGGTTTACCGAAGACGGCTCGTTTATAGGACAATATGTTCCTAGCAACATGAAGCAAATCAGCCCTGCGCCTCCCATTTCCGGCGCACACACTAACGCCCTCGCCACCTATGTTTGAAAATTTTTTTATGATTAAAAAAAAGTGTTTGAATTTGGGTTAATTCTCTCTTTTTTGCTTTACTTTGAACTAAAATGTGTAAAAGGCAGGCACTCTTTGACTTTTCTCTTATAATTTTGACAATTTTTTTATATTTGTATTTAATTTTTTTTATTTTTTTGATTAAAGTTTTTTGTGGCATAAGTCCCTCCCTTATGTTCCACTTATTGTTTACTATTATTATTTCTTTTATTTTCGTGGGGTTAACATTCGTCCATTCACCTAGGTTTATTATTATATAGGTTTATAACTAGGTTTATATATATAAAAAGCATATATATATTATTTTTTGGAATAAATTTTTTATTTTTTATTAATTTACCTTCGTTTTTTTCCTCAGTATTCGTCTTAGTTGATAATTTATTAATTTAAATTATTAGTTTTCTAGGTGTAATTATTATTATATAGTGACTTAGTTTAAATTTAGGTTTAAGTTTATTCAGGGCCAAGAAAAAATATTTAAATTAAACGAGCAGCTGAAATAGCAATAATAACGGTTATTTAAGGACAATTATTAATTTTGTTTATATCCAAACACTGCCTAATTTATAATTTTTTACATAACAAGAATTATGAATAAAGTATAAGGAATTAGCAATACATTTAGAAGACTTAGGCCCTTTTAATTACGTTTCATTAAAAAAGATTTTTTATTTATTTTTGTCCTGTTTGCAGATAAAAAATAAATCAAAATTTTTCTATTGGGTCGAATAATCTCTTTGTTATGGGCGGTGCTAAAGTTAATTTATTTGTTAATAGTTGTTGGTCGTTAGATTTAAACATTAATAAAGCGGGTTGTTTGAATTTGAATTGAAAGAACATTATTTCGAAACGATTTTCATTAGAAAAAAACCGAATCAAAGTTAGTTTATTTATTATAAAGTTGGCTTTTGTGCGTGTGTTTGTTGCTGTGCACGATTTCTTTATATACATATATTAATTAAAAAGATGGAGAAAAAATATAATAAAACAGGACGCAAAATGGACTGCACCGATTAGAAAATATATGTGGATCATTTCCGATTGTAAAACTAATTTTTTTACGACCCTTTTTGTTAAAAAAATATTCAAGTTTTACAATTATTAATGACGATTTATTGTATAGAAATGTATATGCTTAAACTTAAAAAAACTCATTTATTGTATTGTAGATTTTCTATTTAACGATTAAGAAAACAAAATATTGACGAAAGATGGAGAATGGAAAATTCTAATTGAAAATTGTGCTTCGCGCATCTTTTTTATATTAATAAAATATATATATTTAAACATTTAAGCGATAAATAAATTACAAAAAAAAACTCGAATAAAAACTGCTCCCTTTCCTTCTAGAAAAGATATTCTTTTGTTGTACTTGGAAATAACGAATTATTTTTTTATAAAAAAAGAAGCTTTCCTTTTTAGTTTGTAAAACGAAAAATGTAAAACGTAATAAAAATTAAATATTAAAATTTGTATTTCTTATAATCAAATCAAAATACACTTTGCCTTTGTACAATAAGTAATTTTTTATTTTATCCTATCTCATTTACGTTTATATTCAATCAACCTAAAAATTCAAAGAAATCTATATAAATTCTTGTGTATATCTATAAAAATTCTTTGAATTCGTTAAATATACGTTACATCGAATTGCTCCTACTCATAGTTACATAAATAAACCAGAAAATTAACATAAAAAATATTACCATCGAAGAAATTACTAGAAAAACAAAGTTGTTTGTATTTAATTACCGCACTTATTTGGTGATGCTGTTTATTATACAGGATGTCCCATCGGTTGTGGTATAGGCTTTTTTGACGTCTAAATTTCAAGATAGAAGCTATGTATTAAGCCACACCCTACTTGGCCGGGTGATGATCATGAAAAATACATTTTTTATTGCATAGTTTGCGTATAATTTGTTAAATGTTATGGTGGGAGTCATAGTAAAATAAATTCACTAGCCATTTATTCATTATTTAGGATAAAAATTAAGAAAGTGCAATGGCAGTTAAATTTATAGTACTGTGATTTCGAGCACTGAGTGGTCAGCACAACTTCAATATCAACTCTAGGAAAATCACACGTAAACTGAAATAAAAAAAGAAATAAAAGCACGTCAAAATTGCACTTCGCAGGTAGGAAAAGAAAATAATAATTCCTCGAAACATAATTTTTGTGTTATTTTCTTCACGTATTTGTTACAATTTACAAAACAACCTCTTTAATCTGTTTATAGAAATTTCCGAAAAATTTTTATGTTGAACTGATAAACACATTTCGTAATTTTTTTGTTATTAACATTATTATTTACTTTTCAACAAAATTATGTAAAAATTTCGTCCACGCAAATACGATTTTATTAAATTGATTCAATTCATTTAAATACCTTAATACTAAATTAAAAAACTATATGCATAATAAATATGACCATATTTATTATTATAAACCATATTCATTATAAAATAAGTTCAAAATAAAGCCTCATCAGGTTAAAAGAAAAAATCATACACACCAGGCTTAGATATGAGATAATGTATCTTTCGTCCAAAGTTTGAGTCCCAACCCAACCTATTCTTCTTTTTCATTCTAAGTTTAATCGGAGACGTAAACGACTCAGGTTGCAATACATATTACAAAGCCTCAGCTGCAAGCGACCTCGGCTTAAATATAAGGTATCGTACTTTCTGCGTTCAAATTCTAGCCGTAGCCTTAAAAATGTGATTGTTCAATTTTGCATCGATGTGGTATCAGCAATAGACCTCGGCTTCATTAGATACAATCTTTGGTAATCCTTGGCAGCCTATTTCTTTTCATTCGTAAATTTTGCTCGTTCCAGAGTCTTTCGCATGCGCCAGAGATTGCTTTCAAAATCTCGTTGGCACCATCCTCTTGGTTTCCACTGCATCTGTACATGCTTCCGCAGTATATGTCATTATTGGCTTGACGTAAGTTTGGTATATCTTCACTTTGGTTTTGGGTGGATGTCTTGTTGATTGTGTAGCTATTACCATAGTTTGTGCACTTACTTACTCAATTTGTTTAATTACTTACTTTGGAGGCATCGGATCATTTTTGCGAAAAAACCACCAAATTAAGGTCCTAATCATGTATCTTCTGTTCTAATCAACCCAATCCAGATTCCAACGCATGTTCTATACATATTTAGACCTCGGCTAAATTACTAAAGCGTTCTTCATTCTAAGTTTAAGTGAGGGTGCGTACAACCCAAGTTCAACGCACATTGCAGAGTAATTACGTGATATTATAAATTCTTCATTCTTAGTTTTAAAATAAGTGACTCTGTTTTGAATACAATGACTAGCTATAATGCCACTACAATCATGTACTACGATAAAATTATTCCGCCTCACGCAATGTATGACTTAACTTAATTTAGTATGTCTTGAACTTTTTTCATCCCTAGTTGTGAAGACAGAGTTTGCGAAACGCTTAAATTTATTTTGCTCCCCAGTTCCTCTGTGTGCATGAAGTAATTCTGACATTCATAAAAAGTCTGCATTTATCGTCCGGGTCATGCCCCGATAGTAAGTATCCAGTATTCCACTTAATTTTCCACCAAGGAGGAAGATTATCAACTACGTCAGGTATGTATTTGTAGGTTATTCTACAATTCCAACTCTCATCCCATCTCTTATGCCAAATTTCTATTAATTTAATTTTAATTTTTTTTCCAGGTTGTATTTCTCTTTTTCAAGAATATCAAGTGTCTTCTGGTCCAACGGCAAGACGCTAGCGAAGACCTGCAGGATGTTCGTGGAAACCGTACTGCACAACTTGGACCTCACTATACCTAAAAAAAGATTATTGTACAAGATTTTTTTATTTCTTTTCTCTTGCTTGTACTTTTCATTCATTAAATTGACTACCAGGATTGGGTATCTGTTTAACTTGCCCTTAGTAACATCATCAAAATCTTGTGTTTACCTTTAGCCCCTGTGTAGCTCCTCCAATCATTATAATGAAATCATCAGCATATAAGGGTATCCCCTTATAAGCTCATACACCTCCTCCCCAGCATTGTTTCTAAATACTATTCTGCTGTCCGTAAAATAGCATCTAATTACTCTATACATTCTTGGTGACACACCTATTTCCGACTCTATGTTATCGAATGCCCCAGCAATATCCAACAATACTCCTAAAACATACTTTTGGTTATTTTTACTTACAAATTCGGCCAGACCGCATCAATTGTACATCACTCAGCCTTCAACCCATATTTGTTAATACTTTCTGTTCCGGATTGCTCGTCATAAGGCCTTATTCTTTTCCACAAGAGCTTCTCATATAACATACTCATTGCTGGGAGTAAAGATAAGCAGCATAGAGTAGCAATCATTGCTCGAATGGTTGTTTTCCAATATACAGTGTGTGTGTCATTTCTGTCAATGGCGGAGTATATTATTGCCTTTAAGTATCTTGTATGGGTTTTTGTTACTAGAGGTCTTAACAATTTTTTCCCAATTTAGTTGCTTGGCTAACTTTATTCTGACTTTGTTCTTGAAGTCATCCCAACCTATCCCAACCCCTTACTCCGTGTTTTTACCCCACAGCTGCTCCAATAATACGTCCTCGTTCATCTCTCTGTCCACATCCCCGAGTCTCCCTCTATTAATACCCTCTTGTTTTTCAGCTTGGTTACCTTTTTCAACTTCACGTCTTTCTAGGTGTCTTCTTTTTCCAGCTTTTTCACCACATTATTCTTCAATTCCGCGCTATCCACGATATTCTCCCCACCCTCAACTATAATGATGTTCTTGCTCGCGCCTTTTCTCTCCCCCAGCCTTCCTCCAGTACCGATCAGGCCCACTTTGTTCCCCGCACTCGTCTTAACAGCTCTAGCGTATCCTTCATATTCTCTATCCTCTGTTTCTTTCCAGATCTTCATCGCTCCTGCTATCTTTTTCTCGATCCTCTTCTCCATTTCTTTCATCTTCTCATCGAAATTCTTTCTTTCCAGCTAACTTCCGGCTAACTTTATTATGCCCTTATGTTAATTTTTTTTGTTTGTTTATTTTTTCTTCATTCTAAGTGTAATTGAAGGTGCCTCGGCCGCCCAACATCCCAAGTTTCAACGAATATTACAGACCCTCGGTCGCAAGCAACCTCGGCTTAATTATATATCATACATTCTTCATTCTAAATCTAATTGAAGGCGCGTACAGAGCAAAAAATATTGTAGAGCCTCGGCTTAGATATCAAGATAACGTCCAATTTTGCATAGATGGTGTATCAGTTATAGCACTTCGTCCGCAAGTGACACCTTGGTTACAGTGCACATTATAGAGCCTCGGCCGCAAGCGACCTCGGCTTAATTATATGGTATCACGCATTCACAGGGTGGCCAAATAAGCGTGTAAAGTATTGTGTCTCGGAAACTACTCCTTGTAGAGACTTGCGGTAAAAAATTGAGTGATAACTAAAGTGGCTAAGAGAAAACCCTGGAAATTATTTTCAAGTTTCTAAGGTGATTACTAGGGGGCGCAACCGCCGTCTTGAATTAAAAAATGGGCATGCAAGCAACCTAAACTTAGATATGAAACTTCAAACAACTGTTTTTTCAGAATATTCTTGGAAATTAATTAAAATTTCTTTGAAATGTTTAAAAATTTTCTGGAAATCATTGGAAACACTAGAAAGTGTTGAATTCGTCCTAAATTCCCAGATAAGATTATGATTTTCATTGTTAATCCGAAAAATGTAAAAGTAATTAACAAAAAAGATTTATTTGTAATCTTTATAATATATTAATAAACTTTTTCTTCTTAAGCTTAATAGGCAGAGCATAATAAATCGATTTATTCTTAGTTTAATTGGCCGCTCAACCTCGATTTTTGCAATTTTCGTCGATTAAATTTTAATAATTCATACAAAATCGATTTCTTGGAATATGAGTATGAAAATTTAACAAAATATTAATAAAAGTGTACTCTTTCCAATGAACCAACATGTTTTAAAAAATAACTTTTAGTTTTTGAGAAAAAAATATTTGAAATTTTGATAAAACTTTCGATGTTGCAATTTTCATCGATAATTTTCAAAATTCGCTATAAAATTAACTTCTTGAAGGATCCTTGTGGAAATATCACCAATTATTAATTAAAGTATCCTCTTTTTAATGCAACAAGCCGTTTTGAAAAATCACTTTTAGTTCTTGAGAAATAAATTTTTGAAATAATCGACAATTTTTTCGAATTTTGCAATTTTCGCCGATTAAGTTTTAAAAATTCGTATAAAATCCATTTCTTGGAATATGAGTATGAAAATTTCCCAAAGTGTTAATAAAAGTGTCCTCTTTCCAATGAACCAACCCGTTTTGAAAAATAACTTTTAGTTTTTGAGAAAACAATATTTGAAATTTTGATAAAATTTTCGATGTTGCAATTTTCATCGATAATTTTCAAAATTCGGTATAAAATTAATTTCTTGAAGGATCCTTGTGAAAATATCACCAATTATTAATTAAAGTGTCCTCTTTTTAATACAATAAGCCGTTTTTAAAAACCGCTTTTAGTAAATTTTTTAAATGATCGAAAATGTTTTCAAATTTTGCAATTTTCGCCGATTAAGTTTTAAAAATTCGTATAAAATCCATGTCTTAAGATATGAGTATGAAAATTTCCCAATATGTTAATGAAAGTGTCCTCTTTCCAATGAACCAACACGTTTTGAAAAATTACTTACTAAATTTTCGATGTTGCAATTTTCATCGATAACTTACAAAATTCGTTATAAAATTAATTTCATGAAGGATTCTTGTGAAATTATTACTAATTATTAATTAAAGTATCCTCTTTTTAATGCAAAAAGCCGTTTTGAAAAATCACTTTTAGTTCTTGAGAAAAAAATTTTTGAAATGATCGACAATTTTTTCGAATTTCGCTATTTTCGCCGCTTAAATTTTAATAATTCGTATAAAATCGATTTTTTGGAATATGAGTATGAAAATTTCCCAAAATGTTAATCAAAGTGTTCTCTTTCTAATGAACCAACACGATTTGAAAAATAACTTTTAGTTTTTGAGAAAACAATATTTGATGTTTTGATAAAATTTTCGATGTTGTAATTTTCATCGATAATTTTCAAAATTCGCTATAAAATTAATTTCTTGAAGGATCCTTGTGGAAATATCACCAATTATTAGTTAAAGTATCCTCTTTTTAATGTAAAAAACGGTTTTGAAAAATCACTTTTAGTTCTTGAGAAATAAATTTTTGAAATAATCGACAATTTTTTCGAATTTTGATATTTTTGCCGTTTAAATTTTAATAATTCGTATAAAATCGATTGCTTGGGATATGAGTATGAAAATTTCACAAAATGTTAACGAAAGTGTCCTCTTTCTAATAAACTAACACGTTTTGAAAAATTACTTTTAGTTTTTGAGAAAACAATATTTGAAGTTTTGATAAAATTTTCGATGTTGCAATTTTCATCGATAATTTTCAAAATTCGCTATAAATTTAATTTCTTGAAGGATCCTTGTGGAAATATCACCAATTATTAATTAAAGTATCCTCTTTTTAATGCAAAAAGCCGTTTTGAAAAATCACTTTTAGTTCTTGAGAAATAACCATAATAATAATATCAATAAAAAAAATTTATTTGTATTCTTTATAATAAATTAATAAATTTTTCCTTCTTAATTTAAACATTCGTTAAAATTAATAATGCCACCAACACTGTTCATTAACAATTCTATTTTGCAATACAATCCATATATAGCAGCTTTTGTTTATAATGTTCAATTAAGTTAAACGAGTTGCGGTGGGTGAACGTTATTGACACCTAAAAAAATAATCAAACATGCGTTTAGTTGCTGCATCTTGATTTACATAATCTCATTCACCGTTTGCGAAATAATAATATTAATAATACAGCTGTTTTATTTACAAAGTTCATCTTCGAACCATAAATAGAGATTTAAATAACAACTTTTCAATCGAAGATTAAAAATATGTATTAAATTAATATGAATAAAAAAAGAATTATTAATATTGGGGTTCAAAGATTAAAAAAAATAATCACTAAGTTTTGTGAAAAAATGAATTAACACTCAGTAGGCTATCAACGTTATTTACATAATGATTATCAAAAAAACGTTTAAAACATATTCTATTAGCTTGTGTTCTTTTATCGACTATCGGGTGATGAAACATTTAAATTAAAAAAATATAGATAAGAAATCTACGAAGTCGACACCTTTTTTACTTTTCATCAATAAACATGTTGTTGAATTTTGTTGAAAGTTAAATAAATATCGATTGTTGGAATCTGCGGATATTTGAGGGAGCAGAACCGTTTTTATTTCGGGTACTCCCTCCCTTCTCTTTCACCCTATATATACGTGTGTATATATATATATTTCTTTCCAAGCCCAGTACTGTTCGTAATTTCGAGCGCGCACGCAGCTCTTAGGATTATTCTCTTCATTCTCCCTCTTATTTTTGGTTTAGCTTCGACAACCGCAACGACGGCGAATGTTAGCGTTAAAAATTCAGTGTGGTTCGTGAAGATGTGCTGATTGTTTAATTTAATTTAATTTAGTGAAAACGATTTTCTGGAACACCCCGATTAGAGTTGCAGAGATGGTTCTGTTTCGGCATTCGGAATCAGCGCACGCGCTTTCATCATCCGAGGGTGCTACAGAGGGTGTGACTCCTCAAAGGGCATCAGCTGAATCTCAAAAATTAAGTTTAATGACTCAAGGAAAAAATGGATCTTGCGAGGAATTTCAGTTCAATAAAGGTAAATTTTTTGAAATAATAAATAATTAAAGTGAGAAAGAAATGAGTTGAATTTGAAATGAGTATCGAAGTAAAGGAAATAACCGGAGAGAACCGTTTCCGGTTGGAGCTCCGCAATTATGAACGGTTTATAAATAATTTATTGGAGGTTTGCGTTACGTGTAGCGGGGTGTTCACCTGGCTGACTCGGAAAACACACAATTTTTCTATTAGATTGAATTCGAAATTCCTTTCATAAATGTTACATAAATTTTTTCATTTCAATTTCGAATAAAAAAAAATTCGAAATATTCTTAATCAAACTCTAATTAGCCTTTATCATCTTGTTTTCGAGACGTCTTCGTTACGAATGCGTATTCTAAAACCGTTGATTAATGATAACAACGACGTCTTTCTAAGCGACAAATCGTTATATTCGGACCCAATAAATTCATCATCGAGTCGAGACTATTGTGTGTTATGCAACGATTAAACGACGACGTTTATTAAACCAAATAAACACATAGATAGAGTTACAAATAAAATAGTAATAGATAAACGGTAATTTTATTGAGGTCAGAAACGTAGTAAAAATACTTAACGTTAGTAGAAAAGTATGTAAGACCCTAAAGTCGGTCCTGAGTTATTGTTTATGCTCAGTAGCCGTGTCATGCCTGGTTTTACCCGCAGTAAGTACAAAGTAGCGTTCAGTGTTGGTTGTACAATGGTACTGTGCGAGCCGTTTTCGGAGATCGGTAAGAATGTTTCTTTTCTTTTGTCCTCCCTTCCACATCGTCCAATTCAATTCAACAAGTTAATAAACGTCCGGACAAAACGCTAATTAACCCACCACCGTCTCTCACATTTATTTCAAACCAAGCAGAATAAGTTCCTTGGCAAGAAAGAAGAGAGTGAATCACGTTATATACCCACGCGTTTTAAATAGAAGAGACCTTTTCAAAAGCATTCTTTATTTAAGAAGCAGTTGTTATTCTTAACGCGTTCTTCATGACTTCTTATCGCCACACAAACATAGGACTTTTTTTAACTACTGATAATGATATTTACACTTGAAGATTTTTTTTTATTTATTGTTAGTTTTTTTGCATACCTTGCCACCAACTAGAAACGTTATGTCACCCGTTCTATGTTAAAACTCGGTGACTAGCGCATTTGCATGCGACTTTAATGTCTCCTTTGTTGCCGTGAACCTTAACACTTTGAAATCGTATGGAAATTAGATTGGCGTCACACCCGCGACCCGCTCTTCCTTTGAAAATGCTACGCGGCTTTCCACCCATTCAATATTCTACGACCAATGGAATGTCCGCGCAATCGACCATTACTTCTATTTCTTCTCACATTTTTATTTAACCACATTAAACATTTAAACATGATTTTTGATATATAATAGAATTAACATGGACTTAAATCATGTTAATACTCATTTTATATGAAAGAATGTCAAAGTATTAAAAAAAAATAAAACCGACGATCTCGCAAGTATGCAACCAATATCACAATATTCGTATTGCAATACGCAAATCGCGTTATTGGTTGCATACTTGCAATAATAACGTCTGGTACGATAATTAATTAACACAGTGTACATCCCTAACTTCTACGCCACTGGAAAAAGTACGGTTTTGAGACTCTCATTTGAACCGCCAATGTTTTCTACACAAAAAAGGTACTGAGTCATGAGCTCTAAAGTTGACCGTTTTCGAGAAAAATCAACTTTTATGTTAAATAACATGGTCAATTTTTTGAAATAATATTTTATTAACAAGTAGGCTTTAAATTTTATAACAAAAGCTACCTCCTGTCAAAATAACAATTAGTTTGTAATTATAGACAAAAAGATTTATAAGCAAAAAACTGAAATCTTCATAACACAAAATAATTTTACGGAAATAAAAACCAACCCTATCAATACCTTACATACAAAAACTAAAAAAGCCCTCAAAGACTCCAAATCATTCTTGGATAAGTACAATATTAAAATCTCAAATATTTTACCGATGAACTCAAAAAATCCTATTCTTTATTCCGTCATAAAACTACATAAATTACATTACTACATGAATTAACATGGACTTAAATCATGTTAATAATCATTTTATATGAAAGAATGTAAAAAGTCAAAGTATTAAAAAAAAATAAAACCAAGGAGAGGATTTTGATCTCGCAAGTATGCAACCAATATCACAATATTCGTATTGCAATACGCAAATCGCGTTATTGGTTGCATACTTGCAATAATAACGTCGGGTACGATAATTAATTAACACAGTGTACATCCCTAACTTCTACGCCACTGGAAAAAGTACGGTTTTGAGACTCCCATTAGAACCGCCAATGTTTTCTACACAAAAAAGGTACTGAGTCATGAGCTCTAAAGTTGACCGTTTTCGAGAAAAATCAACTTTTATGTTAAATAACATAATAAATTTTTTGAAATAATATTTTATTAACAAGTAGGCTTTAAATTTTATAACAAAAGCTACATCCTGTCAAAATAACAATTAGTTTATACCTGCAAAAAATAAACTGGTATTACAAAATTATCACCAAAGCAGACAAGAATGCGGGTACATTAATTATAGACAAAAAGATTTATAAGCAAAAAACTGAAATCTTCATAACACAAAATAATTTTACAGAAATAAAAACCAACCCTATCAATACCTTACATACAAAAACTAAAAAAGCCCTCAAAGACTCCAAATCATTCTTGGGTAAGTACAATATTAAAATCTCAAATATTTTACCGATGAACTCAAAAAATCCTATTCTTTATTCCGTCATAAAACTACATAAATTACATTACTACATGAATTAACATGGACTTAAATCATGTTAATAATCATTTTATATGAAAGAATGTAAAAAGTCAAATTATTAAAAAAAAATAAAACGGAGGAGAGGATTTTGATCTCGCAAGTATGCAACCAATATCACAATATTCGTATTGCAATACGCAAATCGCGTCATTGGTTGCATACTTGCAATAACGACGTCGGGTACGATAATTAATTAACACAGTGTACATCCCTAACTTTTACGCCACTGGAAAAAGTACGGTTTTGAGACTCCCATTTGAACCGCGAATGTTTTCTACACAAAAAAGGTACTGAGTCATGAGCTCTAAAGTTGACCGTTTTCGAGAAAAATCAAGTTTTATGTTAAATAACATGGTCAATTTTTTGAAATAATATTTTATTAACAAGTAGGCTTTAAATTTTATAACAAAAGCTACATCCTGTCAAAATAACAATTAGTTTGTACCTGCAAAAAATAAAGTTGTATTACAAAATGGCAGAAGCAAGGCGGTTGTATCAAGAAAGACATCCTGATCGCCCAGTACCACACCATAACTTGTTTCTACGAATTCACCAACGACTATGGGAAAATTGAAGATTTAAAAGGAATACTGCTGTTAATGGGCGGCCTATGGAAGTTGCAAATTCCTCAACGAAATTGATGAAAATCCGACCACAAGTACCAAAAAAATTGCTCACAACTTAAACTTACAAAAAACAACTTTTTGTATCCCTACTATTATCAAAAGAGTACAAGCCTTATTGCCACAAGATTTTCCGCCAATTTTTTGTACGTTGGATGTAAGACAAAATAGCTCAAAATCTTGAGTTTGGAGTTACCGATGAAACATCTTTCTCGAAGAAAACCCACATGAAATTGCAAAAGGCCATCATCACCAACAATTTTCCGTAAATGTTTCGTCGGTGATCATTTGATAGGCCCACATTTTTTACGGAACAAATTAAACAGTGCAGATTACCGACAATTTCTAGAAGAAGTCCGGAACTGCTGGAAGATGTACCGCTTCAAGTAAGACAAAACATGTACTTTATCAGAGCTGGCTCGGATACAGGAAAAAAGCATTCGAGTACCGGATACTTACAATGTATTTCTCCATAAAAGTATCCGGCAGTTTTCGGATACTTTTAAAATTACCTACATTATTGTTAAACTAATATATTGTCATTCATATTTTACTTATAGTGATTCCTAATCTTTATTAATGCCGGTTCTGGATTAGAAGCGGCTCCTTGTGACTTCACGCTCCAATGTTATGAATATAGGGAAAGTGACCAACTTAAATCTGGGGAACCAAAAAGTTACTAGATTTAGGTTGGTTGAGTTCACGGCTAAAGTTAGGTTTTCCAGAGAACTCTATAATTTTAAACATTTCTTTACGTAAGCTACGTAAAAGTACAAACATCTCTTGGGTTTAGTTCCACTGCCAATCACTAGGCGGCGCAAATTTGTATAGTTACTTTTTAAAAAAGTCACCAGATCTACTTACTTTTCCAATACCAACCTAAATCTAGTAACTTTTTGGCCTCCCAGATTTAAGTTGGTCACTTTCCTTATACTTATAACATTGGAGCGTGACATAACAAGGAGTCGCTCCTAATCCAGAACCGGCATTAATACACTACTCCTTTCTCCTATATTTTTCCCGAGTGGTCTTTCGCTGGTGAAATTTAGTGTACAAATTTTAGTCGGAGAGAGCCCTCGATTTTCCCAAAATAATAAAAGAGAAGAACAACTAACTTCCTTCCAACATGTAAAGCCGCAATTATTGATGTAGTCACAAAAGATGTACAATATGTAGTAGAAGAAACTGAAAAAAAATGAGGATTCAAACCGAAAAAAATATCCGGAAACCGGATACTTTCAGATTTAGTCACGGATACCGGATACACAATTTGAAAAGTATCCGGATACAGAGTATCGGATACTCAGAAAGAATCCGGATACAAAAGTATCTTCTATCCAACTCTGTACTTTATGCAGCTCCGGCCCACTTTAGTTTGGTTGCTCGCCAATACTTGGACGACGAATACCCAGACCGTTGGATTTAGTAAAATAAAATTTTTATTTCAAAAAATGTACCATGTTACTCAACATAAAAGTTGATTTTTCTCGAAAACGGTCATCTTTACAGCTCATGACCTTCAGTACCTTTTCAAAATTTTTACCAATTATGACTTTAAAAACATTTTTTCTCACACAAAACTTAGCTTATTATGAGTAGAAAATGGTTACAAACGCTGTTTTCTGTACGACAAACGGTTGCGGAGATATTCGCAAAAAACGATTTTTTTAATTAAATTTGAACACCCTATATCTCGAAAATGGTGCAAGTTGATAGCAACTTTTTTTCAAATTTTTGGACAAGCTATCACATCCTGAAGTCCTACGCATATATTATGAAACACCGTGTATAATAGAATTAACATGGACTTAAATAATGTTAATTCTTTTTAACTTCTGAACAGATTAAGATATCAATATGAACAAATAAACGACAGTTTCTATATTTTATCAGCACAAATATTTTCTTATAGAAAATTTTTCTATCACTTAGTTTTTCCGGAAAATGGATTAATTTTGTTTTTTTAAATGGAACACCCAATATATAATAATAATAGACTTTATTAGAATGGAATTTCACTAAATAACAATATAAATTTAACTGGTTGGCAAGGGCGAAATTAAGACAATCGTCTTCTCTTCCACTCAACCCTGCCATAAAAATAAACAAAATATAATTAAAAAAAAAAAATGAATAAATACAAAACAAAACTAAACGAGGTACAAATAAAACTAATAATAATAGTGTACCAATAAAAAATAAAGCGAAAGAAAAGATTTTTAAAGATGGTAATACAATTACATAAAAAGCAAAAATCGCATTCCACGTGTCCCACCCTGTATCTGATCACATTGTTCTCCATATAAAATTTTTTTGATTGGGGTAAGCTATTATAAAATTTAGACAAGTTGTAAGAGAATGATCTCTCAAATAAATTAGTAACATGTAGCGGTGCTTGCTTCGAACATTTAAGCTATGGACATCAGTGCGGAATGAAATCTTATCATACAAATAACATGGACATTTAAGCAACACTAACTTATGATAAAATGAAACCATATGTATATGCGACGGTTAAACATATTCAGTCACCCAAGATCGATCAGCCAATTCTGAACACGCTTTGTGATGTTTTTGAGTTCAGACAAGTATGATATACTGTATCACAAAAGCATTAAGCAATTTGTTTTGTCCAGGATGTGCTTTTCGAACCTAAGATTTGAGTCGTAAATTTCTAGCACACTCCCTAACACATTTACCACCAATATTGATTTTAAAATTTTCTGCAAGAGAGTCGCCTGGCAAAGAGCATAACCACTGATTTTGAATTTGCCCGTAACGAGTGTTTAGTGGATACATCTATCAGATTATTTATGTTCTCACTCAATTTAACTTGAGCAGTGGCCATGTCCGTAGGCAAGAACGATAGATAGATTTGGGAATAGTCCGCATAAAAATGTAACTCTGAATATTTCAAAACTGTCGAAAGATTAGAAGTAGCTATGAGTATGATTGATAGTCTGACACATAACTATCAATCATGCTCATAGCAGAATCATTGAACCCAATAAAGGATAAGATAACTAATAACATCCTACGATTGACAGTATCAAAGACTGTACTGTAGTCTAGCAGAACTAATCCAGTCAACTATATGTGTTAATGCTGTATCGCAACTGTAGTTAGCACGAAATCCAGATTGTTCTAGGCAGAATATTAAGTTTATCGACACATTCCCGAATTTGATCATTCATAATTTTTTCTAATACTTTAGACAAAACAGGTAAAATACTAATTGGTCGCAGGACCGAAAATGTCATAGGATTTTTAATCTTTGGCAAAGGTGTTACCAAAGATTTCTTCCAACATTTTGGATAGATTGACCTCGATAAGCATATATTAATAATATGTGCGACGTAAGGAATGATGAAAGGACAACAGTAATGTATCATCACAACCGAGAGTTCATCATATCCCACTACAATATGCTCCGAGACAGGCACAAAAGCAAACAATTCATTACAGGTAGACTTTTTCGAAGTAGTATAAGCCTGAATTAAGTCTGGATCAGTGATCATTGAGTTTTCAACAGCTTGTAAAAAATTATCATTAATGCCTTCAACGTCATTCAAATGTTGTGGAAGTACCTGCTCTTTTGATTTGGTAACATTCAGATGCCTTAGTGATTTCCAAAGATCCCTGGAATTTTTATTTTTAAAAGATGATTCATAGTACGCCTTCTGCTCGGTCTTTATTGCGCGTGTAACATGTTTTTTAAAAGATTTGGATAGTTCAGGATTGTCAAAAATAAAGGTTTGCGCAAATACACCAAAATATTAAATACCGATTATGAACTGCCTTCGAGGAAAAAATTGACTCAGATGTTGCAGGACGTTGAACATATTGCTTTGATATCAGATATTTGAACGTCAAACAGTAATAAAAGTTTCATTAGTGTGACCGCCCATTTTATAGAAGAAACAAAATTGTAATCAATAGCTATTTCAAATGTTATTCAACAAATATTGGACGAGTGGCAGATAAGTCATTTGAATGCTTATCTTCAGCTTCAATGAAAAAGCAGTTAGCGAAATTTTAAATAAGCAAAACCATTTCTGTGTTGTTCACACTCTTAATCTTGCTTTGAAAGACGGTATAGAAAAAGATGGAATTGATTTAGGAGATACCACCGTTAATAATAATCAGTTATTGCAAGTAATAAATAAATGCCGAGAGATTGTTTCAGATTTTAAACATAGCACAAAATCTTCATATGCTTTGGTCCTCATGCAGAAGCAAATTAATTTGGATGTAATCAAATTAAAGCAAGATACTTCTCATATGCTCGAACGCCTATTAAAGCTCAAGGTTCCGTTTTCTGCTACTTTATTGACACTGGTATCACCTCCAACGAATCTGGATTCTGAAGACTGGTTATTTGCTGAAAACGTAGTGGCGTTTGAAAAAGTAACTGCAATTTTATCCGGGGAAAAGTATCCATCGCTATCATCTGTTATAGCTCTTGTATTCGGTCTACGAAATACCATAGATAGCAAAACTCCAGTGATACAGACAGGCAAGCACTTACAAAGAACTCTTGTTGTTATAATAAAGACACGACTTGGGGTTTATGACATTAATATAACAGCAAGATCTAGGTGGCCAAGCAAATGGACCATTATTACCAATCCACTTGTTTGGAAAATATTGGTTTAACCACTCGACAACTACTCTTCCGCGATGAGGTGCTGATACCACATCGCGGAAGAGTGGTACCACAAGTGTATTGTTCAAAAAAATCCCTCCATCAACTCCATCGAGTACATGCAAACCTAGTAAATTGTTGTTAAATATTCCACCCCAAACGTTGGTGCTGAAGACATGCTAACCGCTGGATTTGTGCCAGCTGTTGTTTTGCTGTCTTATGCTTTGTTTTTGGCCACCAAACCAATGAGGCGTAGGCGACCATGGGTCTGATTATTGCTACGTAGGCCCAATAAGCCATTCGTGGTTTGAGACACCAGCGACCCTTCTCCGAGTGAAAGGGACTATTTCGATTTTATTGGGATTGATGCTGAGCCCATTGCTTCTACACCAAGTACTGGTGAGTAGTAGGGCTTTCTGCATTAGTTGAGTTATGATTGTATTATATTTACCTCGAATTGTGATTACCAGGTCATCAGCATACCCTTGAATCTTAAATCCGTTTTTAGTTAGGGTGTTCATCAAGTCATCAACTACCAGGCACCATAATAGAGGTGATAGCACTCCCTCTTGGGGCATCCTGTTAACGCCTTTATAGTCAGCGACTTGCCTCCTAGACTGGCTTTTTCACTTTTGCTTAGTTCGATATATTTCTATATAAATAAATAAATAAATCTTCTTGAAATATCTTAATTACCCAGAAATTTCCTGGCAACAGCTGGAAACCTCACGAAATATTTAGACATTATGTATAAAAATCTTTACAAGTATTTGAATTTCTTTAGATATCTTTAGAAATCTTCTGGCAATGCTTAGAAGCACCTTAAAAGTTCCTATATGTCTTTAATAAAATATTTAGACATTTTTTAGCAATGATTTGAAATGGTATAAGATTTTTTAAAATATCTGGATATCTTTGCAAATCATTAGAAATCTTCTGGCAACACTTATATACAATATATACATAAGTTTTTACACGAATTTTTGTAATTAACTTTCTTCGATTGTAAAGTCAGGTTCATGTGATACAAGCTATTCTTCGAAACTCCAATTCTCACCTTTGTACTCTTAAAATTGCTTTTCTAGGTTCCCCTATTAATGGTAGTAATTTATTATCGCCGTTACTCTTGTTCCACGAAACTTATCAAGAAATAGCTTAAAAAAATAAAACGTGTAGTCATACAAGGTCAAATATTTACACGATTACAATACGTGATTATGGACGCTCATAATCAATATACGTGCTTAAAACCATGTTAAATTTGTTGATGAAAACGATTAAATTTATAATGTTGGTGTTTCCTATTTCCCACTACACTTCCGAAAGATGTGGAGTTCTTAAACGGCGTGGACGGGTTATTTTCGAAGCAGAAGCCGAAGGTGTAACGTAAACATTTACATCGTTCCCTTACAACTTATTTACTATAGAAAATAAACAGCTTGGTACCGAGGATCGAGAGGAAAAATAAATGCCTCGGGCTCCCGGCTTATTTAAAAGTCGTTAATTTATTATCAAAGGCAGCTGCATAGAGCCCTTATAAATTTAATGGCGCAGCTGTCGCGCACAAAATCAAATTTTTTTTAATTTTATACTTTTTTATATTTGTTGTAGATTTGAGGAGTTGGAACGGGACGATATCGCAAAGATGGCGAAAATTGCGGCGATGCTGTTCGTCTTTAAGGTCCCCTAGTACTCCAGCACCTCCAGAACCATGCAGAGATTCACTTTTAGATGATACTCACAGCTCTCCAATTCTAGTCAGTCTTCCCCAAATAAGCACATCATTGCGAATTCCAAATTCTACGAAAAAAAGTAGCGTCCAAGAAGTTATAAGATCGAAATTGAACCGTATACATGTGGGCCTAAGAAAGAGACGCGCAGTTTCCGTCCACGAAGTTTTCAACAGCCCAACTCACGATCAACAACCGACGTTTTACGTTCCATCGCCGAACGATAAAAAAGAAAGAGGTAGACAACGAACTAGAGATTTGCCTAAGACTGTTACCAAAGATCATGGTTACCATAGCTATGAAGGAAACGAAGCCGATAAAGCCCCATTTGAACCGGAACCGGATTACGATGACGATACTTGGTGCTCCAACCAAACTGGAAACTCGAGGAGGTGGTCCGTTGTTGAAGGTTTAGTTAGCTATCATTATCAAAACCGGACCAAAACTCCCGTTGATTCGGGATCGAGTTCCGTCCCTTACGAATTCGAGCCAAAACACCAAAACCAAAAAATTCCACAACGAGACGACGTCAAAAATAAAATACCAAAGGCTAGGTTAATGAAACATCCAGAAAGAGCGAGGTCACAATCGCCGGCCAAAAATAAAAGCTATTCCACCCCTTTGAAAAATGTTTCTCCAGAAAATAAAAAGGAACGTAATTGCAAAAATGGTCAAAACGTAGATCTGAATAAAAGTTTTAATCAGGTGATTATCTAAAAACTTACGTAAGTAATTTATTTTATTTTATAATTTTTAGAGTTATCTAGAAGAACTAGAAGAAGAAAACGAGGAAGAAGAAGAGGAGGAAGAAAGCAAATTTTGCACGCTACCAAGAGGAGGTGGTGTTGCCTTTACCATAAAACAAGTTGTCTTCCAAAAAGGGCCCGGTTTAAAAGCCCTTGGTTTTAGCGTTGTGGGAGGAAGGGATTCTCCAAGAGGCAGCATGGGAATTTATGTCAAAACAATTTTCCCCAACGGTCAAGCAGCAGATTGTGGATATTTAAAAGAAGGTAATAACAACAATTTTTTAAGATAAATTTAGTTATCAATTGTTATATATTTAGGTGATGAAATATTGGCTGTAAACGGTAAACCATTACCAGGAATGTCACATCAAGAAGCTATAACAGTCTTCAAACAGATAAAGGTGGGTCAAGTGATTCTGCATATTGGCAGAAGGGTGCAACGCAAGAAGCGGGAAAGGCTCCCCCTGGCGGTGTGAGCTCTTCACGTTGGAGAGTATTTACATTCCTGTCAATACATTCTATTCCAAAGATACTTGTAATAACTATATAATAAATATATTTAAAATAAATAACGAAAAATGAATATTATATGTATATTATAATTTTTTATATCTAATAAAAAACGAAATAATATTTTATACTCTAATTCTATTGGTTGTTTCTTTATTATTTGTCGAAATTGATTTGGTAAAACTTGGACCAAGCATAAAAGAACGAGCCGTGCGTTTTTTGAAAAAATGTATTCATTGAATAACATGAATAGAGAAGATGATTTTTGTCAATCTAACACAGTCCTTAATAAGAATAACCGCTTACTTGATTTAATCTTCACTAACCTGAGCCTTAGAATCAGTCACGACCTTGATCCTCTACTGGATGAGGATTCCCACCATCCTGCCTTGTGTTTCGAGATTGATTGTACGACTCGCGATCAGTTCTGTCATTTTAAGCACAATAATAATGTCAATTATAACTTCAAACGTGCCAATTACCCGTTGTTATATCGATCAATTACGGATGTGGATTGGTCTTTTCTCAGTCACGCCACCAACGTGGACGAGGCGTGTCAACTTTTTTATGAGAAACTAAAGAGTGTACTAGATTTGTCTGTACCTGTAACGGCGAGGGGCTCTCCTTACCGACGCTGGCCAGTATGGTTTACTAGTGAAATAAAAAATAGCATTCGCATGAAGTGGAAAATGCATACGAGTCACAAGCGTACTGGTTCGACATACTGCTTGGCAGAATTTAAGCGCTATAGGACGTTAACTAAGCATCTGATCACTGAAGCGTACGGGTCATATTTGAATGGCATTGAGCGATCTTTGAGATCTGATCCCAAGAGCTTTTGGACTTATGCTCGGTCTCGTAGGGGCGTTACGCGTATCCCCGGCCTTATGGTTAGAGATAACCATAAGGCGGAGAATTCAGTTCGGGCGAAGAGATTGTTGGTGCCTTCGCGGATTATTTTCGCTCTGTTTACATCGTATCGGATCCTGTGGGCTTTGATCTCGGCCAACCCGCGCATCACCTGCAGTTGTCGGTGGATAGTTTCTCTCTGGAGGAGGTGGAAGAGGCTCTGAAGCGAGTGAAGAACACTTCATCCGCTGGAGTCGATGGTATTCCGGGCTTTATATTCAGGGACTGTGCTCCGATCCTGGCCGGGCCATTGCTTACTATCTTTAACATGATCTTGTCGACGTCTGCCTTTCCATCCATTTGGAAACAGTCTTACGTAAGCCCAATTTTGAAGAAGGGCAGCGCTGCAGAGATTGTAAATTACAGGCCGATATCACTGCTATGCGTTGCTTCGAAGATTTTTGAAGGCGTTCTATTCAGGCATATGTCATTCCATCTTCGGAAATATATTAGCCCTCTGCAACATGGTTTTGTTTGTGGTCGATCTACAGTCACTAATCTATCATGCTTCACCCAATTCGTCGCTGATATCATTGACAACAGGGGACAGGTGGATGCAGTGTATCTGGATTTTCAAAAGGCCTTCGATCAGCTTGATCATTTTATCTTGCTGCATAAGTTGAGTATTCTCGGTCTGGGCTACCCCTTGCTTTTGTTAATGAAATCTTATTTGATAGGTCGACGACAGTTCGTGCACTATGGGGGCCATATCTCCGATGGTTTCTGTCCCACTTCGGGTGTCCCGCAGGGATCTAATCTTGGTCCGTTGTTGTTCCTGGCTTTCATTAACGATGTTACTGAGATCCTGGACTGTGAAGGGCTACAGTTCGCCGACGATCTCAAAATCTTCTCGGCCATAAGTGATACCGACGACTGCGAGCGGCTGCAGAGGAATCTGGTTCGGGTGCAGGGGTGGTGCCTTCGCCACCGTCTGGCGCTCAATATATCTAAGTGTTTTACGATGACATTCACCAAAAAGATTAACTTGATCGATTATGTGTACCGCATAGGCAACCAACCCTTAAATTCTGTGTCGAAGTGTAGAGACCTCGGTGTGATGTTCGACTGTGGTCTGACGTTCAGTGAGCATATTCTCGATCTTGTGGCCAAGTGCTTCCGGATTTATGGTTTTATTGTGCGTAGTTGTAGAGGACTATCTGTGCAATGTTTGTCAACCTTATTTTTTGCTTTGATCAGATCTCGTTTGGAGTACGCGGTAATCGTCTGGAGTCCGTATTATCAATATTATGGCAATTTACTTGAATCAGTCCAAAAAGCTTTTTTAAAATACTTAAGTTATCGTATTGATCTTGCTTACCCTCCTAGAGGTTCAAGTTACGATTTGCTACTCTCGAGGTTTAATTTTCTCTCGCTGCAGCAACGTAGAGCTGTCTGTTTTGTTAAGTTTACTTGCAAGATTATAAGGGGTGATGTGGACTGTGGCTGGTTGCTCGAGAGATTGCCATTCGTCGTGCCGCGTATTAACGCGCGCTGTAGACACATCTTTTATACTGGTCACAGCCGTACCAATGTGTTACGTAATTCGCCGATATCTTTAATTTGTGAGTATTGTAATCGAATATCACCATTTTGCGATCTATTCTGTGACCCGTTGAGGTCGATAATTAGAGCTACTTTAAGCATTTCTAATACTTAAATACTAGTTTCTATTATTAGTTTGTTCTTTTTTTTGTATCAAGCCTATACTGATTTGTTAGAATTTTGTTTTGCTTTTTTATTTCATTGTATTCAAATACGTATCTTTCTTTTTTAAGTTTTTGATTTCCTGTAACTGGGTGGTCACCTGTAGGAAATAAAGAGTTATTATTATTATTATTATTATTCCCATGTCGATGAATCCCTATCGCTTTTTGGAAGTAATGTCAATTTCTTGCTAGCACTATGGTTTTGTCGAACCCTATGCTGTGTCCTCCTTTGTGGCAATGCTCTGCGACTGCAGATTGTTGGATCTTCCTTAGTCGGACGTATCTCTCGCGTTCCTTGATGCGGCACTTGATGTTACGTCCAGTTTGGCCAACGCAATATTAGATAGACTCCCGCTCCCTGTAACAGGGTTAGTTTGTCTTTGGCTATCGGAAGAGCGTTTTGTATTTTGCTGACCGTACCGTGTCGTACCACTATATCATTCTTCTTCAGACGCCTTGCAATTCGCTCCGTCACACCTGAAACATAAGGAAGGCAGATAAAACCGGGTGGTGTCGTACTTACCGAGTCATTCTTCTGTTTGCATGGTTTGGTGGCTCGTCAGATATTCTCATCGTATAGCCATTCTTCTGCAGGACATCTTCTAGGAATCTTTCTTCATTTGTTAGGTTCTCGCTGAAATAAGGCTTGAATTACGGACCTTTTCTGTTGTGGGTGGTGGTGGAATGAAGCCTGCAGGTACCTATTCGTATGCTACTTCTTTCCCCCATCTGTCTTCCTAGTGACTAACTAATCATCTAATCATTCTAACGAATGGCAACTGTTTTACAGTTTCTGTTTCCATGGTAAATTTTATCATGGGGTGCTGTGAATTGAGGTGGTCTAGAAATTCCTGTAGTTGCTCTTTTCCATGTTGCCAGATCACGAAAGTGTCATCGACGTAACGGAGTTATAGCTTCGGTTTCCAAGGACTCTTCTTTAATGCTTCCTCTTCAAGCATCTCCATATAAAAATTGGCTATCACAGGAAACAGAGGTGATCCCATGGCTGCCCCTTCGCATTGCTCGTAGAGTTCCCCCTTCCACCTGAAATATGTCGACGATAGGCAGTACTCCACTAGTCCTGGGACATACTTGGGCAAACCCTCCGGGATGAGTTTCTGGCGAAGAGCATCCGCGGCATCTTTGACTGGTACTCTGATGAATAGAGATTCCACGTCGAAACTTACCAGCATATTCTGAGGGTCTAGCTTCATACCTTCATAAGCCTAATTGATTCTACAAAATGTGTGGAGTCTTTGACATATTTTCTTTTACTACTTATTGTCAAATTTTAACAAAATTCGCCACTTCAAACTTGTTTCTGAAGAAGGTTGCAACATGGCATCCGAAACGTCAAACATAATACGCACGGCTTAACCCGAAAGTTTCTAGTTCTAGGTCTAGTGTTAGTGTTAGTTCTAGTGATAGTGCTAGTATTAGTTCTAGTTTTAGTTTAATTAACACCGGGCGTGAAAGCGCCAGATTGCGCCGTAATTGACTCAGAGGGATCAGATCTTCAGCGTCGTATTCAGTATCTAGGTTGGTATTTGCCACATCAGCCATAATTTTGTGCCAGCACTTTTCCAAGACTTCGAGGGAGATTCTTTCCCAAGTATTGCATAATTGACATACAGCGTCTTCTTCGTTATTAGATACAATATGGGCTAAAAACTTTTCCGATCGCACTTCTATAGTTCCATGGTTTGAATCATGCTCTTTCAGGTATTTTAAAATAACTTTTAACGTGACGAATAAAAGAGCCATGAAACCAGTCTATGAAAATTGCTGTAGTCATCCATGCATAGGCAGATAATTTATATTCAACAGGTATATTTACGTTTTCACAAGCCCTCAATTTTTTTGCCTTTTCTATCACTAACAATTTTAATTTTTGTGAACCATCAGCATTTCAACATGGTAGAAAACTAACGCGTTCTTTGCTTATATTTCCACCTGGTGCGAATTTCTCCTTTTAAAGCAAGCAGATCAAGTCTTTTTCTAAAGTTCAAAATCAAAATTTATTATTTCCATAGGTTTCAGTACAAATCTATTACGCTTTGGCAGATAAAATTTCTTAGAAACTTGGAATGTGTCTTTATCGTTACGTACTAAACCATGTCTACGAATGAGTTGCTATTTTTAGATATTCGCTATTTCGTCAAGTTCTTCTGAGCGCAAATGACCTTGGTTAAACTTATAACTATATAGAGAATGGATGATTTCTGCAGTTTGTTGGTATGATTTGGGTTGTCATGGTATTAATTGTGAAGCCGCAAACGGTGTGATGAGAACACTCTCTCTGTAAATCCTAAAAAGACTGAGATTGTTCTGAGATTACCACCTCATTTCTGTAATAGTTCATTAACCTTTGCTCCAGAAGTGAAATACCTTGGTGTAATCTTGGATAAAGGACTGAGTTGGAAATCACACATTAGTTACAAAACCAAAAAAGCAACGATTGCA